ACAAGGAAAAGGGCTTTGAACTTTTGGTCCAGAAATTCAGCTAATACATTTTTGTTAATAACACAAGGGATGTTTTAAAAGTTCATGGAAAAATGTATATTATTAAAGTAACAACAGTCTATGCATAAATTTAAGTTTGTTTTTTTTTTTTTTTGTGCCAAAATAAGCTCCACAAACTTTTCAAGTCCCTTTATACACTCGCTCCTGAGGACACAAGGTCGGTTTGGCATTCGTCACTTCTGCACCCAGGAATTGGTAACGGTGGTGATCAGCTGGGCTAAGGGGCCAGGCATCATTCTTGTCTAGTGGGTCACTTCCTGGGACTCCCGTGCCGGATCTGCCCGTTTGCTCTGCCCTGTTCCGAGGTGACTGTTTTGGTCTAGCTTCTCTCTCTCTCTTTTTTAATTATCATCATAATCTTCTTTATATTACATTGGATTACATATAACTTTACAGTGTATTACATTGCTTTTTCAAAAGGGAATGCCATGCATGTCAGTCAGTACAGAGACATTAATCTCCCCACTTCAACATTCAATATCTTTTCTATGTTTTCCCCAATCATTATTTTTATTTTTCTAATTATTTTTTAAAACAGTCAATCGCTATTTCTCATTTTGCTTGTAAAAATACTTTGCCCATCATGAAGTACTTCTCAGACCAATCCAGTTTCTAGCTTCTCTCTTAAGCACCCTAGTCTGTGTTGCTTCTGTGCTCCCCTTGTGAACTCCAGGCTAGGGAGCAGGCACTTGTTTCAGAAGGCTTTGCTTTTTTCCAGAATGCTTGGCATTCTAATACTCCCAGCTGTGCCCATGGGACCCTGCAGCATTCATTTCTGTAATCTGTTGTGCGATTCATAGTGGGGGTGGCCTTGTTGGAAAGAAAGGTGTAGGGCTAATCCTGGAGGAAGACTATCTTCCTGTTTGGAGAACACATTTATGGAAATATAATGGTTTCATCATTTGGAAGAAGTAACGTAAGCACAAATTAAAAGAATAATAATGCAGTGCTTAAGGATACTGCAGAGAAATAATTCTTCCTTCCATCCTAGACCTCCAAACTCCAAGGTGTTCCTGAGAGGCAGCTCCTGTCACCTGTGCTCCCTGTGGGCATGTCTATGTGTGTATTATACGGCAGCTCAGCATAGGATGTTAATGCTTAGCAATGGAGAAAGCAGCTACATTATGGGATTTTTATGTTTCACACTCACTGTTACTTTGCCCCTGGGGAGATGGCTGTACCTGCAGTATATTTGGAAATTGCATAGCAGAGGAGTTCCTAATGAGTTCAGGCTAGAATTGTAGCTTTGTTGATAGGCTTTGTAGCTTAATGCGGATTTCTCCAAGGTGAACTAGAAGATAATGCCCTTAGTTTGTAAATCTACTCAGAAAGGGCTCTGTTTGTGTGATCTCTCCCTTGAGCAATGGCAGTTAAAGGAGGCCAGATGGCCTCGCTTGACACGTTGAAACTAGATTTGAACTTCAAGGAGGAAGGGAAGGAGTTCTTGGTAGATAAGGCAGGTCTCTGTAACTTTCTCCTTCCTGAATTAGAGACACTACATACTTTTTGGTTAAGGAAAATATTTTCAGCTCCTAATAGACTGTAAAAGACAATAAAATTACTAATGACTTTCCAAGAATGGGTTTTTCTCTAAGGACACTGGATTCTTAATGCATTTTAAAATAAGACTTGAGTCAACTTTTTCTTTTCTCCAAAATGGCATTATTTTATCTAGTATTCTTCTTCCCAGATTAAGGCTTTGCTCAGAGTGTCTACTTGGAGAGAAGCTAGCAGAATGAATGCAATTGTTGAAGTCACATGGACCTTCTTTACCAAACTTTTAACTTTATTATTTATATATTTTGTGCCAGAGGGCATGTGCACATGCATGAGAAAGAGAGAGAGAGAGAGAGAGAGAGCACGTGCGTGCAAGAGAGTGCACTTCTGATAGGGTTTGGTCATGCTGTAATCCTTTTTCCTACAATTCTCTATTCTGTCAGGATCCTGGGCATTTACCTAGCAAGTTTTTCAAGTTGTCAGAGCCAGGACTCAAAACCTGATTGGCCATGTGGGACCCACGTTCCTCTGCATAGTGCCTAACCACTGTACTATGGGGCTGACTCTTCCCAACTTTCCAAACTGTCACCTTTCTCTTCATGTTAATACGATAATAATATCTACGTTCCAGGATATGAGGGTATGATGTAAAATAGCCAATGTGAAATAACTACAGAGTGCCTATATTAAGTAAAAGCTCAATGAGTATCTTTTATTGTGTGATTTCTTATGTACACGTAGCCATTGTACACCTTTACAGCATACAATATGGTTTTTCAAAGTATGCGTGCATTGCATGTCAATCAGGTCAAAGATATTGCCACATACATCCCTCAACAGACACTCTTCCATTCTTGTGTCTGTTAAATGTTTCTTTCCTGAGTCCCTCCCAGCCTCTCCTTACTAATTATCACCTTCTTTTTTTTCCCTCTTAGGTTTTTGCTATTGGGCCTGTGTGCTTGCCAGAGAGAGACAGCAAGAGATGGTAAGAGGGAAAGTGAGAAATCACTCCCCAGGAGGGCTGGCCATACCACAGTCTCTTCTCTTTCATTCCCCTCCTGGGATTTTGGGCACAGAAATCACACATATGTGCCTGGAGTGTTTTTTAAGCCGCCAGGTCCAGGACTCAAACCATGGCTGGCCATATGGGAGTCCAGTGCCTTAACCACCATACCACCTGCTGGCCCTCACCACCTTCCTATGCAATCTCTGGTGTCTGCAATTGCTCCCCCACTATTACATCTTTAGACCTCCTATTTCTTTTTGAAAATTACATTTAATCTTCAAACCTCCTATTAATTTTTTAAATTATATTTAATAATTGTTCATATTTGCAGTGTGCAAAATATTTTTTTACCCTAGCATGAATACACTGCATATTAGTCATGTCAAAGATATTACCACATACATTTTTATTAACAGAGAGCTTTTCACTTTTGTGTCTGATGAATTTTTTTCTCTTTTCCTGATCCCCTTTTGCCCACTTCCTATTACCTACCCTCTTCTATTTTGTCTCTCTTATCTATAGTTTCCCCCCCTGCTGTACCTTCCAATCTTTCAGTTTCTGCTACAGAGTGCAGACATTTGTTATATGTTAACTGGGGACATACAATGCATCTCTTTTATACTCTGGCTTGCTTCATTTAACATGATATCTTCCTTATTTGTCCACTCTGTACCAAATGTCATTTGTCACATTTTTTCAACCCATTCATCTATTCTTGGACATTTATATTGATCCCATTTCTTAGCAATTGTGAATAGTACTGCAATAAATATAGATGTGCAAGTGTTTTTCCAACTGAGTGTTTTCTTTTCCTATGCAAAAGCTCAATCAATATTACTTCCACTCCTTATCTCCTTTTTGTCTCAGTTTTCTGGGGAAACTCATGAGACAGTTCATAGACAAGAGAATAAGCTTTAATTTTTGCCTCAGATGGGATCCAATTCTGACATTTTTTTTTTGAGAGTTTTTTTTTTTTTTTTTTTTTTTGTTTTGGGGCACGTTTTTTTTTTGCTATAGGGCACGTGTGCTCACCAGACAGAGAGAGACATAGAAACAGAAAGCGAGAAATCACCCCCCAGGGGGGATTGTCACGCTGCAATCCCTTCTCCTCCATTCTCCTCTTGGGATCTTGGGCACACACGCACACGCGCCTGGCGTGAGTTCTAAGTCACTGGGTCTGGAACGCGAACTGTGGTCGACTACGTGGGAGTCCAGTGACATAGCCATTATGCTAACTGCTGGTTCCCTGACATTTTTTTTTAAAGAGAGATTTTTGCTATAAGGTGTGTGTGCTCACTAGAAAGACAGAGAGAGACAGAGACAGAAAATGAGAAATCACACCCCTCTTCCCAGGGGGAGGGATGACCATGTTGCTATCCTTTTCCTCCATTCTCCTCTTGGAATTTTGGTTTTGCACAGATACACACCCGGTGTAAGTCTCAAATCGCCAGGTCTGGGACTTGAACCACAGTCGACTACATGGGAATACAGCTTTATGCCATCTGATGGTCCCTAAAAATTTCAATGTATCCTTGAGTGGGCAACTCATATCTGAAAGATCATATAACGTAATGGATTTAGACATAATCTCTTATTAGCATAACAGTCCTGCTGAGGAGTGAAGGAAGGTTGTAGAATCTGCTTTTTGAGTAGGGTATTTAGAAAACTTAGCAAGTTAATGGGTCTCTGCTAATGCCTCAGCAATTCTTGCTTGTATCAGACATAAGCTCTTTGTCCAAGTCTTTAATGAGTTCTCAGTGGCTTCATTCCAGGATTGTTGTCCCAGGAACATTAAAAGACAGGGAACATCCTAGGAACAGTTAGTTTTCCAGTGTTAGGATGTATCAGGGTAACCTGGGATAGGTGGATTAAAAGGGCACGTTCTGGGCTGCCATAGAACCAGCACAACTCCAGGTGGGTTGCTCAGGGCTCAGTGAACTAGATGTCTGTCTTCTGTGATGATTCCTTGCTCCCACATAGAGCAGACACAGGACTCTACCAGGCACCCCTCCTTATTGTCCCATCATAAGTGATTCTGCTGGAGATTGAAGTCCTGGGAGCCTGCCCATTAACACACTATAGATGTTAATTCTATAGAGATAGGATAATAGGACCAAAATGGAGTACAGACTTTTGCTTTTCCCTCAGCAAAATGAAGAAGTTTTAAAAGTGTACCTTTTTGGAAAGGAAGTACCTTTTTCTCCCTTCAAAATCAAGCCGTGATTCAGGATTAGTAAACATTCATCCCTGTCTATAATTAATACAGAGTGCTGTCTTGCCATTCCAAGGATGGAGTTGGCATTGTTCTCAAACAAATCACTCATGAACAAAGGATCTAGGTCATCGTGTTTGCTTTCGAGGAATGTTTTTGTTCAGTTCAGGTCACCGGTGTTTACAGAGCAGTCCCACAGTCTTTGTCTTGCTCTTTCTCTCGAAGGGCAAACTTCGATGATACGGCGACGTACTCGGCAGTGGCGACTAATGTCCATGGACAGGTGTCCACCAACGCTGCGGTGGTGGTCAGAAGTGAGTGTGCACACTTGGTGGTGGTGGCTGGAGGGTGTGCTGTGCAGCCTCCTCTTTCTCTCTCTGCCTCACTCACCTCATTGTCTTGCAGGGTTCCATGGAGACGAGGAGCCATTCCATTCTGTTGGACTCCCAATTGGATGTAAGTAGATTTTGGTTTCTTTTCATGTTGAAACATGTTTAGCGATACAGCATATAATTCAGAAAATATTTTCTAAGGGTTGAACTCTTTTTAAAATTTTATTTCAAAATACCCTTCCAAGTGTTTCCTGGCCCGTGTTAGCATGCTGACAATTTGTTCCCATGCAATTCTACGACTAGGTGGTATTTTTAGACACTGGTGAAATTGTCACTTGGAGAGACTTTACATTTTTGAAACAAATCCAAATTCTTGGCCTGAATGCATAAAGTGGCCACATTTTGTTTTAAAGTATATTTTCTTTCCTCCAAGTCTGCAGCTCCCTACCGTGTGCTTGAGGATGAAAGGCCAGCCAGCCCTCTGCTACAGGTCTGGGGGTGGCGGCCTTCCTGGGAGAGGCGGCCGGTCTTTTTTTTTTTTTTTTTTTTCTTCTTCTCCCTAAGTTTCTTGGTCGTTTATAATGAACCTTAGGTCAAAACAAGGGTAAGCTGCAGATGTTTGCTCAGAAACTGGCTTGAGGCCTACCTTAAAGTATTTTAAAACTCCTTTTCCTTCTGTGTACATGTAACACATCCTGAGGGATGGGTAGCGGGTGTTCTGCTCTGTTTCTTCCTCTCCCATTGCAAATGTTTTCTTCCTCCTCACATTTTAAACACCACATATAAACCACTCACTCATCCACAGTTCCTATATACCATAGCAACCTGAAGTGACCCTTCAATGAGGACTCTCTTTCTGAGTCCCAGGCTGGTTCTAGAGGACCCAAGGGGCTGGGCCGAGCCACTGGGTCAGTGTGGATAATGGTCACTATGCCCAGGAATCTCGAGGACCATGATTTGATACACATGCTTTCAATATGGCTTCTGTGTGGTTCGGGAATGAGAGTCAGTATTGATCTGAACTTCCAAAAGAGTACCCATATATTCCTGTTTAAGGCTTGGTTTTACCATAATTTGAGGCTCAGATGTTACAAATCAAGTGTTGGTGAGGAAAGAATTGACCAAAACTATTACCGAGGAGAAAGCCTTTCTGGCAGCCATTGAAAACTTTGAGTACAGTTTACTTTGGGTAAATTTTATTGACTGGGTTATGTCCAATATTTGCTGAGTCTGAAGTGCCATCAATGGGCATGTGGGCATGAAGTCCAGGTCAACACAGAGTGGGGAAGCAGGGCGATCCGAGGATTGGTGTGTGTGCAGCCAGGTGCCAGCAGGTGGGCAGTCAAGTCTAAGAACAAGACAGGTTCCACCTGGAGAATTTTTTCGCATATTAAAGATGCTAAAAGGGATCTAAATGGTCATCTGAACCCATCCCCTGAGTTTCTTATACTTATTAAAATTTCATCATTTTAAATAAAAAACTTTGAACTATTTATAACATACTTGTAGGTCGTAATATAATGGATGTGCATTTGTCTCCATATTGAAAAAATGTACATATTTTGGCATTTTGCTTCAGTTATTTTTGCTAATTGAAATCCAATTCAGATAACACAAAATTAACCACTTTCCATTGTATAATGATGCTTCGGTCATATTTAAAGGACTGAAACTATCACAGAGATGATGAACTCTCCATATGCCTTTCCCCGTTTATTATTATTATTTTTAAAGTTTTTGCCGTAAGGCACGTGTGTTCAGTGTAGACAGACAGAGAGAGAGAGACAGTGAGAGAGAACATGAGCAATCACCCCCCTAGGGAGGTTGGGCATGCTGTAATCCCTTCTCCATCCTTCTCCTGGGATTTAGGGCACACATGTACAAATGCCGGCCATGAGTCTTGAGTCACCAGGTCTGGGACTTGAACTGTGATCAACCATGTGGGAGTCCAGTGCTTTAACTACTGTGCCACCTGCGGGCTCCTCCCCTTCTTCTTAAGAGGAAACCAGTGTCTTGAAGTTTGCAGTTCATGTTAAACTTTCCCTATATGCATTTGTAAACAATGGGGGGGATGGAGACTCTTTAAAAATTTACTGTAGATTTTTTTCTTAAATACATGAACCTTTTTACCCCTGCACCAAACATTCTATGTTTGAGATTTAATGAGGTTGATACCTTGATATCTAGTTGATTCATATGTCCTAAAGATAACATCCTACCGATGAAGATAGCACAGTTTGTTTTGAAGAAAAGAAAGATGTGGCCTTAGAGTCAATGTATCTTGCCTGAAGCCACACATTTGGGGTTGAAGTAGGACTTAAACCCTTTACTCTTCTTTTTTAAAAAATAATTATTTATTTAATTTTATTTATTGTTCTTATTTATTTTTAATTTACCAGAGAAGGAAAGAGAGAGAGGAGAGGGGGAAGAGAGTGAGAAAGCAAGTCACCAGGTCCGTGATTCGAACCATGGTCAGCCATGTGAGAATCTAGCACCTTAATCACACCATTTGCTGGACCCTAAATCCTTTACTCTTAACATGTGATTCAAACTCCAAGCTGCTTCTCCACACAGCTGTGCCTCTCTGTCTGCCTTTGGCACAAATGAAAAAATACAACTTTGTCATTGTTTTCCTGTTTCTTCAGAAGTGGCTGTCTGAGCTCAGGCTACTAGGACCAGGATGGAATAGAGACCAACCCCAATGGTAGCACTGGATGTACCTAAAAAATATGTATTAATTTCTCACGGTGCTGGAGGATGCAAGTCTGAGATCTGGGTACCTATGTGTTTGGGCTCAGTGAGGACTCTTTTCCTAGTTTGAAGATGGCTCCCTCCTTGCCCTGTGTTCTCACGGCTGAGGGAGAGTTGTGGTGTCTCTTTCTCTTATTAGGACATTAATCCCCATGGAGAGCCTCACCCTCATGTAAGCATAACTCACCTTTCAGAGGTCTCATGCCCAAAGATCATCACATTATGGAATAGGATTTAACAGGGATTTGGGGAAGACACAAACATTCAGCCTGTACTACAGTTCTTTTGAGGAAGTAAATGATTACTAAAGGGAAAAAAACACACTTTTGCAGAAAAGGTTCTATACGTATCTACTGTCTGTCAGATGCGTTAGGACTGTCAGCTCTAACTCTGTCTCATCTGCCCTGTGTAGTGCCCTTATCGTCTGTGATTCCATACACTCACTTTGATGTTCAGTTTCTGGAAAAATTTGGGGTCACCTTCAGAAGAGAAGGGGAGACTGTCACTCTCAAGTGCACGCTGTTGGTGACTCCAGACCTGAAGAGGGTGAAACCACGGGCCGAGTGGTACCGGGATGGTGAGTACAATGACAACCAACCTGGGCACCCACAGAGGTAGTGCTGCATCTGCACCCCACCTGTAAGTCAGGGTAGAAATGCATCTTTCAGGGGTAGTATTGATTTGGCCTTTGTCCCTGCCACCACATTAGCTGTGAGCAGCAAAAGAGACCAGAGAGAACTTGGTAGCCTGAGATTGACTTTGGGCTTCATCCGGGAAAATTCTGGAGAAGTGAACAGGGAAGTACTTGAATTTAGATGGTTACTCAGAAATTTTTATAGCTTCATAAAAGGATCTCTTTTTAAAAAAATGAGTGAGTTATCTGTTATGTATGTTTTTCTTTGGCTAAAACAATAGCTGTCATTTATTAGAGCTTATTATGTGCTGCATTCTTTTCTGAGAATAATAATTTATGTAATTTCATGACTCTACAAGAAGGATAGTGTAGTTAGCTTTACATTACAGAGAAGGAGGAAGAAATAAGAAACTTTCTTAGGGCTTTTCCTTGGGGAAATGGCAGAGCTAGGATTTGAACCCCTGAAATCTGGCTATGGAACCTATGTTCTCTACCAACCATACAATATTGCTTTAATAATATAAATCTGTGTTTCCTACTATCATTTGGTACTTACAAGGAATGTGTGTGTGTGTGTGTGTGTGTGTGTGTGTATATTTTGAAAGAGGGTATGTGTGCTCAATAGAGAAAGAGAGAGAGAAGGAAAGTGAGAAAATATCTCCCTCATGGGGGATGATCATTCAACTATCCTTTCTCTTCCATTTCTTCTTTTGGAATTTTTGGGCATGCACACACATGTGCCTGGTGTGTTTCTTAAGCCACTGGGTCTGGGACTTGAACCATGCAGCTGGCCATGATGGATTCAATTGCCTTAACCATTACATCACCAGTTGGCCTTGTGCTTTCATATCTATGCAAAGTATACAAGTCAGCTTCTCCACCTTCTTGAGGCTCTTGGTTCTTCCCTTTAGGGAACTTACTTTTCCATGCATGAAATCACACTGTTATTTTGCCTGTATTTATTCAGGATTTACCATAATACAAAATAGTACAAAGAAACATCTGCCATTCCTGCCCATGTGATAGTTATAACCTACTTGGGGAAAACACACAACAGCATGAAGCAGTGTATTTAAAGGTGTGTGAAATGTCTCAGGCCAGGTTGTGATAATTTGCTGAATACATGGTACTGGCCATGCTAACTAGTGAAATGGAGTCAGGAAAGTAGGGGATGAAAGATGGAGGGGAACTTTGTTGTAAATAAAAAAGGTTGTTGAAAGATGATAAGTTTTAAACTGCTTGGGAAGGAGAAGTCTGTGTGCCAAAGCACAGAGGCAGATAAAGAAAAAAATGTGTTGAAGATACAGAGTACATTTTGACCTTGTACCCAGAATACAGTAATTGTTAGGTTTGTGGAGGATTGAGAACTATGATCTTCTGTTGGAACTGTAGTAGTCATAACCATGAGCTCTTTTCATGCTAGGTGAGGGGGACAGACAGCAAGAGAGAGAGAGAGAGAGAGAGACAGAGACAGAGACGGAGAGATAGAGACAGAGAGAAAGGGAGGGAAGGAGAGGGAGGGATTCTTTATAGCAGCAGAAGAATTGAAGCATTTTCATTTACTCTTTCTGGTGAGAAACAAAATTTATATGCGAAGCATTCTCATGATGTGCCCAAAGCTTGGTGACATCAATTTTAGATCTTTTTCTAGTGACTAGAAAGTGCCTGGAGGACCAGTAGATGGCGTAATGGATGTATCGGACTCCCACGGAGTCAATCGTGGTTTGGGTCCCAGACATGGTGGCTTAAACTCATGCCAGGTGTGCTTGCATGCGTGCGTGCCCAAAATCCTGAGAAGAGAATGGAGGAGAAGGGATTGTGGTGTGGCCATTCTCCCAGGGGGATGGGTTCTTGCTTTCTGTCTCTCTGTCTCTCTGTCTCTCTGGTGAGTGGATGTGCCCTCTAACAAAAATCTCTTTCTCAAAAAAAAAAAAAAAGTGCCTGGAATCCTGGTAACATGGTAGTTTCACCAAATGTCACAGATTTGAATGGAACATACATTTTCAAAAAACATATTTGACAGGTGCTCTTCTATTTTTACTTGACTCCTGATAGTTGAGGGAGATTTAGTTACACAACAAGCTCTGCATTAGCAATCCAGATTAGATCTTCATGGGCTGTATTATTCAAGTGGACATCCGTGGGGACCGTTCTCTATGGCTTGCATTTAGACATTAAAATGCAAGGGGGATATTTTCAGCTCTTTATAACGGATGAGCTGTCAGCCACCTCTGGCTGGCAAGCCCCGAGGAGGCAGTGAAGCCCTCCAGCAGGTTGGAGAAATTGAGTGTGCAAACAGGAAATTTTGGAATTACTGACACAATTTGAGATGGATCATAACTCTAAAGCTACCACTTCACTGATGCCATCACAGCTGAGAGAAACTTGGTTCCGTTTAAGAAAACCTAAGACCACTTTCGGGTGTGATTTGCATTTGTGAATGGTTTGGTTAGTATGGTAATGTCAGGAAACCAGCAGGGAACAAACTTTGGTTCAAGGGATTGGATTTCAACCAGACTTTCTGCTCAATGAACAGTGGGTTTGCCTGTGGGTCCTGTTCTGGTTTAATGTATATCTTAGATGCATAGATAACCATTTATTAACTATTTTAATTATTTGTCTTTATTTATGATAGAGTGCAAGTGAGGTGGGTGAGAGAGGCAAGCAACCTCCACAAGGTCAGGTCATGCCACAATCTCCTTCTTCCAGTCCTCCCGCTCTTCAGGTCCTGGGCTGTCACGTGCATGCCTGGTTTTGTTTCAGGCTGCCTGGCTGGGGATTCAAACCATGGTCACCATGTGGGATTCAGATTCTCTTAAACATCACATTACCCTTGTGCCATGGTGTCACCTGCTGTGAGTAGTCTGTTGTTTTAGCCACTCGGCTGCCATGACAGAATGCCACAGCCTTGGCGGCTTAGACCACAGACATTAATTTCTCACAGTTCCGGTGGCTAGAAGTTCAAGATAAGGCACTGGCAGCTACAATATGTGCTGAGAGTTTCCTTTCTGGCTTGCAGATCGCTCCCTTCCCTCTTTGTGTTCTCACATGGAAGAGGGAGAGTGAGGAGCCTCTGAATTCTTCCTTTTCTTATAAGAACATTAAACCTCCCATGGGCCTCTCTCTAGTGACCTCAACTCACCTTATTTATGTCCTGATGACCCAAATACCACTTCATCGAGGGTTAGAGTTACAATGTAGGAATTTTAAGAGGTCACATTTTGGTCCCTAGCCCCTGGTTTCATTTTAGAAATTCATATAAATGTTGAAATTCTCCACATCCAAAGCTATGCTCCCCAAAGGGTATTTTCTAGTGTAGTCATCTATTGGCTTATTGGTACTTTTATTACTTAAAATGAAAAAAAAATTATTTTGTTAAAGGACACCTGCATTCATCAGAGAGAAATGGGGAGGGGGGACAGATGCGGGGCAAGGGAGAAAGCACTCCCCCATAGGAAATGGTCATACTATAATCTCTTCACTACTTCTCCTCTTGGGATTTCGGGCACACACACATATGTGCCCAGTGTGTTTCTCAAGTCCTTGGATCCGGGACTCTAACCCTGTGGTCAGCCATGTGGAATCTGGCTCCTTAACCACCAGACCACAGAGCTGGTACTTTTATTAATACTTTCTAAGTAACAGCAATAGAAGACTCTTGCTATGCTCCATCTGGCTAAGTGCTTTTGAGATGTTAGAGCACTGACTTGTAATGAGCACCATCTTTGGGAGATACATGAGATCACAGCCTGATAGATGACGAGGCGGGTTTAGCTCAGAAGCAGGGAGCTGACAGGGACACCCAGTTTATCTGAAGACAAAGCTAATGACCGCTTTGCACACGTCTTATCTCTATCCATTCTAAACGTGCTGCAAATTCTTTTTCAATCTTGTGCTTTATTTGCATGTATGCTTTATGTATTAAACAGCATTCAAACTTTTAGGAAGTCAAGGCATTAATAAAAAAGCATAACATTTAATGGACACAAAAATAGAAAATTGTTGATAATACAGATGGTAATATCTTTGACTGGACTAATAGGCAGTATATACATGCCCAGAAAGTTCATTTTGTGTGCTGTAAAGATGTATAATAATTAAGTGTAAATAAATAAGTAAATAAATTTTTACATACTAGTAATAATTTTAAAAAAATGTCTTTGTTCCTTGGTGTCTGGCTTGACAGCCCTGGGTTGCCGTGAGACTACACAAACATCCAGGTAGGTTTCTGTGATTTGTTAAAGGATTCCTCTAGCAACTGCTGCATTTTATTGCTCTTTTAGATGTGCTAGTGAAAGAGTCGCAGTGGACAAAGATGTTCTTCGGAGAAGGACAGGCCTCATTGTCCTTCAGCCACCTCAACAAGGATGACGAAGGCCTGTACACCCTGAGGATCGTGTCCCGAGGAGGAGTCAGTGACCACAGTGCCTTCCTGTTTGTTCGAGGTGCGGCTGGTGGGTGCATGTGGTCACAGCTGAGGTGTGAGCTTGCGTGATGCCAGGAGACCCCATAAAGACCAAGGAACTGGACCAGAGAAGCAGGATGGTTGAAAGATGGTTTCGGCTTCCTGAAACTTCAGTGATGGGAAGTAGATTTTTCCGTGGTGCCCCAGCACACCACAGTGCATCCCAGCGCCGAGTGGGTGAGATAAGGGAGATGGAATTGAAATAGATCAGTCCTAGAGATATATATTATCTTTCAATCATTCAACACATCATTAGAACTTTGAAAGTGCCTCTCACAAGTGACTGTACCAGCATTATTTATTCTTGAGAGAATTTGGCACAAGAACAAAGGAGGCCAGTGTAGGGGGAGCTAGCCAGGGAGCCTCAGTATGTCTCCCCTCTGGACTTTGACTTTAAGGGGAGAGACAATGATGAAAACTACTGCTGTTATTACTCCTCATTTCAAGTAAATTCATGTTTAAGACACTCACAATGAAAGTGGCCAGGAATTACCACGTGCTTTTTGTCAGGCAAAGTGATCAGTGTTCTGCCTGTGTTTAATCCTCCCTGTAAAAGCATGAGAAGGGTTTTACTAATCCCTTTCTAAAAACCTCATAAAATTTATGATATACCACCAGGCAGTGTTAGACATTACATGTGTATGTGTGTGTGTACAGGCATATAGGTATGTGTGTGTATATGCATTTGTATACATACAAGCACACATATGTGTATATATAACCTAAAATTCTCAAAATAATTTTGTGAAATGCTATTCTCAGTTTTTTGAGCAGAGACACTAAGGCTCAGAGGCATGAGGAACATCTGTAAGGTGGAGGAGCTGGGATTTAAATTCTGCTGGTGCCTAAAGCATGAGAATTCCTTTTGCGAAGTCTCAGTGTCTGGCATTGTATGATGCTTGGAATGAACCCAGTTACGCTTTTTTGACATTTATCCTGAGCTCTTCTCTACATCTGTCCCAGGTTGCACTTCTGGGTTTAAAGGTAACCTCTTGGCTAGGTACAGCTAAGTCTACCAGGAAGATATCCACTACCCTTGCTGTGGTTGGCTGTAGCTGCTGCCCCAGTCCCCAGGGACTCTGTCCTGATCGCCCAGCCCATCCTTACCAGCAGCTCAGGGTTCTCTCTCTCTCTCTCTCTTTCTTTTTTTGGAGAGGCTTTTGCTATAGGGCGTGTGCATTCACCAGACAGACAGACAGAGATGGAGAGACAGAAACAAGAAATCACCACCCCCCCACCACCACCACCTGCAATCCTTTCTCTTCCATTCTCCTCTTGGGATCTTGGGCAGACATGCACACGGGCCTGGAGTTTTAAGCCACCAGGTCTGGGACTCGAACTGCTGTCGACAACATGGGAGTCCAGCGACATAGCCATTATGCTAACTGCTGGTCCCAGGGTTCTCTTCACCTGTATACCTGCCACTGGTTCTCAGGTGTGGGCGGTGGTAAGAAGATCATCAGCATGTTATTTTTTCCACACTGGATTAGTTAGGTCAAAGCGTAAAGAAAGGGTGGTATCACTAGGAATATTTTTTTCTTAGGAAAACAAAAAGAACAGATATAAAACAACTAATGCATCTCACCTTCTTCGTTTCCCACACATAAGCTTGCAAGTCTGCAATTTTAGGCACTTTTACCAAGTTTTGCTTTTTATTATTAGGTTGGCATTAACATGTACCTCCCATTCTCTGTGTATGCCTTCTGGCAAGACGTTTCACCCCATAAAAATGCAATAAATACAACACAGCTTAAATTGCCTTGCTTATTCAGCACCACCAACAGGAAGAAAATAATGCAAGTATGGAGGAGTTTAACCATTTTGATTACTTTTTTGAAGATTTTGAATGTAAGAGAAAATATTTGGCCCCATGTCAAGAACTCCTTAGCTTTCAATATGCTGAGGAGACTTGAACAAGAAACTGTATAAATGCTTACACTGCTAAGAATATATAACAGCCATGGTAGCTGAATAAATATGTATTTTAGATAACAAAATGAAATGTTCAGTGTATATACTTTCTAAATAGCTCTGTTGGCCTTCAGTGCAACTATAATTAAAATTGGAAAACAAAACCTAACTCCATTAAGACCATAAATAGCCTGAGAAATGAATTTAGAGAATATTGACCCTTTGAATATTGAATAGAGAACTTGCAAAGAAATTCCAAATTTCTAAGGACTTTGAAATATAAACGTCTAAGGCAGTATTTCTCAAATGTTAAAAAGGCCAAATTACTATTATTGTTTCATCAATCTAGAGAAAGTGAATTTTAATTTTGGACCCAATTACTTATTTATTTTTAGAGAGATCTTTTTTTGCTATAGGATGTATAGGATCACCAGAGAGACAGAGAGAGACTGAAAGCGAGAAATCACTTTCCATGGGGGGAAGACCACACTGCAATCCCTTCTCCTCTATTCCTCTCAGGATTTTAGGCACACATGCATATGCACCTGGCATGAGTTTTAAGCTGCTGGATCCAGGACTCGAATGGCATTGGATGCTGTGAGAGTCCAGCAATGTAACCATTATGCCATTTGCTGGTCCCAAATTTTGGATCCTATTATAAAAGCTTACAGACTTAATTATTTTATAGATGAGTAAATGTTTTGAGTTTTTTTTTTTTTTAATTCCTAAATATATTTACATTTCTTGTCACCAATTCACCAGAGTCAAAGAATATTCAAGAAATCTGAACACAGGAATTAAACACTAGATCAAAGCCAGCAGGTAGAATTTTAGTTTGATGGGGCTCTGGAAAGACTTTAAAGTGACTTCATGCTTTAAATGACCATGAACACGTGTGTCCCTCCAATCCCTTCCCAGATGCTGACCCGTTGGTTACAGGGGCTCCTGGAGCACCCATGGACTTGCAGTGCCATGATGCCAACCGAGATTACGTCATTGTGACGTGGAAGCCTCCCAACACAACCACTGAGAGCCCTGTCCTTGGCTATTTTATCGACCGGTACGTTTCCATTGTGTTCCTCCAGGAGTGGAAGTGTTCCTAAAATGAAAATCCTCATGGGCAATGTCTTTGGGTATTGCTATAAATACAAGTTGATGTTATTCTCGACTGGTTCTGTGTACATCACTGTTAGGTGACTCACCGTGCCTGACCACTAATTGGTAAATAGTGCCAAATAGGCTGAGCCCCGTGTAAGCACACTGGATTTCTTTTTGTTGAAATTGGAGCCTTGCTGAGCTATTCCACACGCGGTATCAAATCCCATCCTACTTCTCCAGGCACGGTCAGAGAACCAGTGTCCTGGTTCTGCAGAAGTCCAGGCTTGTGTCCTATGCTGAAAGAGTCCCCAGCTTAGCAGGATTAATACCCAGCTCTGTTTCTGTCTCCCGCGAGTCAAAGTGGTGAAGAAGAATGCCAGACCATGCTGTCGCTATATGAGAGATATAAATAGATAGATGTCTTAGATAGCTCTTTTGAAGTTTGTTTATACCACTGTACATCTAAATCAAAGTTTAACAGTATTGATTTACCGACGTGAGATAGTTTCCTGTTGTGAACATTGTCACCTAATGTTCTATTATTTTTCTCTATTAACTAGGAAGGTTTTTGTTTTCTCATTTCGAAGTGAAAAGTATGAACGCTTCAGAGTATGAATATTGCAATTTCTCTTTGAGTTAATCACTTTAATTTAGATTGTTATTAAACCCAATGCAGTTTAACTCTTTAATTCCCCTTTTCTCAGGATAGTACTCAAATTTGACATGAGAAGCATTCTAGAAAGAAATCTGTTAACATTATTTCAGGAGATCATGTCCCAACATTCCAGTGAGGATTCATTCCTTTGGCCCAGATTATGTTGGGTGTTGGGAGACACTCAGGGAGGGAGGATTTTATTTCCTAAGACTTGGCATTTGAAAGGCTAGGGAGCTTAGGGGCACCCTGTGTTTTTCATACAAGTTGGAAAAAGAACTGTGAAGGACAGATCTAAGTGAACATTTTGAGAAGATTTTTCCTAAAATCTATTCAGGTAATATATAATAAAATATATTTGAAGACTGTAATTGATCTTAAGTTGCAAATGAAGACCCAGGATAATTATCTCTCAAGCTGTATCTAACTATATAGATATTTAATCTATGTTTTTGTAGCTATAGATAGATAGCTAGATGTTTTTGTAGCTATATAGATAGATAGATCTACATATATAGATAGATAGATAGATAGAGCTAACATTTCCTAAGTAGCCCTGTCTTTTAAAGCTTATTTATACTACAACTTGTATAACTAAATATTTATATATACATGTATATATATTTATTGTTTACATTTAGTCACTGTATGTCTTCACAGTACACAGCATAGCTTCTCCCAGCACAAATACAGTGCATATTAGTCAGAGCAAAGACATTACCATATACATTATCATCAGCAAATAACTTTTCATTTTAAATCAGTATTTTAACAATATAGATTTTTACCACTGTGAGCTATTTTCTTGATATAAGTGACGCACTTTTCTGTTATGAATTGTATATTATATATACACACATAGGCACACACATAGGCGTCTTTATCAGACTGTGCATTTTTATTAGACTGCTGCATTTGTAACTCTCTACATATTTTTTTTTTTTTTTTTAATTTCAAGATGTGAAGTGGGAACCAACAATTGGGTTCAGTGTAATGACGCACCAGTAAAAATCTGCAAATACCCTGTGACGGGGCTTTTTGAAGGAAGGTCTTATGTGTTCCGTGTGAGGGCCGTCAACAGCGCGGGTATCAGCCGACCTTCCAGGGTCTCTGATGCAGTGGCCGCTCTGGATCCCCTCGATCTCAAAAGGTTACAAGGTAGGCAGCTCACATTTTAAATTCCAACCACTCCCGGGGAGCTTTGGGACATTCTGTGTGTGACTGGTTCTTCCCTTTTACTCCTACCTGTATGGGAGTCTTAAGGAGGCCTTCAAGCACTGAGTGTAGCACGGTGATCTGTTCCTGTCTCTATGTATTCCTCAAAGTCACTCTAGGGATGGTGCTAGGCTGACATACTTTCAAACAAATGTGCTTCGCTTTCATAGAACTCTCCACTGGAATCCAGGTAAATGGGCTCAGAATTAGACCTTTCTCAGCCCATGGGAGATCTAATTTCAACATATAATGAAACTTAAATGGGCTTGAAATCAAGCCATTCTATTTCTGAATTTTAATTTCACATGACATGGATTCCTTAATGGGCTTGGACCCTTCATAATGGTTTTAAGTAAGCCACCATGTTTTTCTCACCTGCTTGGTCCTTTGAATTCACTCCAAAGGCTGAGAAGCACTGAATGTTACACAGTCCACTTCCAAAATATCAACTCTGATTATTCTGCAGGCCTGCGTATGGAGCAGTCCTATCACAAAGGTGATTTAGACCTTGCAGAGAATTAGGGAAAACTCATGCTTTCTCTAGGAAGCCTTTGGATGTCAAATTGATGATCAACTTTTCTCTTTGTAGCAATTCATTTGGATGGAGAGAAAGAAATTGTAATTTATCAGGATGACCTTGAAGGTAAGTATTTCTTTGCTACTTCATTTCAGCTGCTTGTACTCTCAGGATTTAGGGTTGTAATTGGAGACACGAGAGATGGACAAAACCCATGCACGTGATGGGCTCCCTCTTTACATGTAAACATAAAAACTGCAGTTAGAGGATACAAGCGTAATGTTTATAGAACTAAAAAAACAAACAAACAAAACAAAACAAGCAAGATAGAATGAGGGAGTGGAAAAAAAGAAAAGAAACAAGGTGTATGGATGGTGAACTCCATTGCTTTCAGTTAGGGCTCCCAAATACATACAGAGGAAACCCTACTACAGGGAAGATTTGATGATCACTGGTTGATGGTAGGTCATCCTTCCTCACAAAGCCCATTAGTAGAACAATATTTTATTTCACTTTTATAAGCAACCTTTTTATTTACAGCATATTAACTGAAATAGAGTTTTTTCCTGATCAAGAATGAACTTTTATTTCCTTTCTAAAAAATACGTGATGTTGTAAATATGTCTTAATATTTCTTTCAGAGAGGGTAAGAAAGAATGATTTGCTAAGAAGGAGGATCTAACATTATTTTGTCAGAAATCCAAAGAGTTAACAGAGTTCATTGAGTACGAAGAGTGAAAACTTTGGAAATGAGACAAGTCCAAATTAATATGGAGCCACTGGCAAAGGAGTGGTACTTTTGAGCTTGTTTTTAAAATTGCAGCAGTCCCAAATGTTCTTTGCCCAAAATAGCTACAGATTCAGGAGAGGTTTGTTGATTGATTTTCATGACTGGGATAGGTTCCAAATGATATCCACACCTTGTATCTTCTGCCCCATAAAGATTTTTTCCCTAGGATTTTCCGAAGGAACATGTGCCCAGTCCTCTTCTGGGAACAGTAAACCCCCAGAGGAACACTTTGAGAGCAGTGGTTAATCCACCATGGTAATACATAAAACTCGGATCAAAACACCTGCTCCAGAAGAACTGAGAAACCAAAGATGTTCAGAAAATAAGTAATGAAAATAAACTTTTGGGGGTGAGTTGACTTAGGAGGATATTTTAAATAACTTTCTCATTCACCCTAGTCTAGCACTGTGCCTTTTTTTGGGCATTTTTAAAAAATGGTTAAAACACATATTTAAATAAATAAATAATGACTCCAACTCATATTGAGAGAGCATATGTTTATGCAGACCAGCTTGTACAAAATGTTTTTGGCATGCTGGAGAATAAGGCAGTTCTCCTTTTTTACCCCTCATGGGCAGAGGGGGTCAGAGAGGACTGATGCAATTTGTATTACCCTTAGTGGACAGGATTCCAAATCTGGTAAAAATGAGCCACAGAAAGAAGGTGTAATCTGCTGTATCAATGTTGCATATCTATGATGAAATTTGCATTATCTAAAGGTCACTGTAAAAAGTACTGCAGATATGAACTAACATAATCTTAGAAGCCTTTCCAGGGTATGAACCATGCCTTTTTGGGGAGATAATTTATTCTTTTTGTTAAGAGAGAGATTTTTGCTATAAGGTGCTTACACTTGCCAGAGAGACAGAGGGACAGAGAGAGAAAGTGAGAAATCACTGTCCAGGAGGATTTTAACTGAAATAGAGTTTTTTCCTGATCAAGAATGAACTTTTATTTCCTTTCTAAAAAATACGTGATGTTGTAAATATGTCTTAATATTTCTTTCAGAGAGGGTAAGAAAGAATGATTTGCTAAGAAGGAGGATCTAACATTATTTTGTCAGAAATCCAAAGAGTTAACAGAGTTCATTGAGTACGAAGAGTGAAAACTTTGGAAATGAGACAAGTCCAAATTAATATGGAGCCACTGGCAAAGGAGTGGTACTTTTGAGCTTGTTTTTAAAATTGCAGCAGTCCCAAATGTTCTTTGCCCAAAATAGCTACAGATTCAGGAGAGGTTTGTTGATTGATTTTCATGACTGGGATAGGTTCCAAATGATATCCACACCTTGTATCTTCTGCCCCATAAAGATTTTTTCCCTAGGATTTTCCGAAGGAACATGTGCCCAGTCCTCTTCTGGGAACAGTAAACCCCCAGAGGAACACTTTGAGAGCAGTGGTTAATCCACCATGGTAATACATAAAACTCGGATCAAAACACCTGCTCCAGAAGAACTGAGAAACCAAAGATGTTCAGAAAATAAGTAATGAAAATAAACTTTTGGGGGTGAGTTGACTTAGGAGGATATTTTAAATAACTTTCTCATTCACCCTAGTCTAGCACTGTGCCTTTTTTTGGGCATTTTTAAAAAATGGTTAAAACACATATTTAAATAAATAAATAATGACTCCAACTCATATTGAGAGAGCATATGTTTATGCAGACCAGCTTGTACAAAATGTTTTTGGCATGCTGGAGAATAAGGCAGTTCTCCTTTTTTACCCCTCATGGGCAGAGGGGGTCAGAGAGGACTGATGCAATTTGTATTACCCTTAGTGGACAGGATTCCAAATCTGGTAAAAATGAGCCACAGAAAGAAGGTGTAATCTGCTGTATCAATGTTGCATATCTATGATGAAATTTGCATTATCTAAAGGTCACTGTAAAAAGTACTGCAGATATGAACTAACATAATCTTAGAAGCCTTTCCAGGGTATGAACCATGCCTTTTTGGGGAGATAATTTATTCTTTTTGTTAAGAGAGAGATTTTTGCTATAAGGTGCTTACACTTGCCAGAGAGACAGAGGGACAGAGAGAGAAAGTGAGAAATCACTGTCCAGGAGGATTTTGGGCATGCATGCACACATACCTGGAATGAGTTTTAATATTAAGCCTAGTGCTAGACTCCAACCACAGTCAGCCATGTGAGAGTCCAGCACCTTAACCACTATGCCACCTCCTGGCTTTGTAATTTATCCTTTTAAACATAGATATAGATGTGTTGGGATATAAATAGCTAGCTATTTTCTAAAAGTGCCAACTAAAGAAACAACACATTTTCTGAGTCTTAGTTTGCCAATTGGTTAAATGCAAGTTCAGTTTACTAGACATAATCATTCTTCTTTCAAACTGGAATAAAATCACTGATAACATTTTTTAGGTTTATTTTTGTTTCCTTTCTCATGTGAAGGCAGGTTTTCTAGTTCCCTGAGCCTGTGTCTTTCCTTTGTTTGATGTATTCTTGAAAGTAGCAGTATTTTCTTCATAGTCTGGGAAACATTTTTTTTTAAAGTTTTATTTATTCATTCATTTATTTTAATTTGACTAGAGAGAGACATAGAGAGAGAAAGAAAGAGAAAGTAAGTCACCAGGTCTGGGATTCAAACTGTGATCGGCCATGTGGGAGTGTCCAGTGCCTTAACCACGATGCCACCGGCTGGTCTCCCATCTGGGAAACATCTCTGTGGTGCTGTTTATATAGCCAGTCATGGCAGGCAGAGGGCAGAACACTTAGAAGGAAAATTGTTTGACTTGGACGTTGATCCCGCCTGGAGAACAGCCGCCTAGGCTTCAGTTTTCTGATGTGAGACTTTGCCTGTGGCTCACAATTTCCATGGTCTGAAACAAACTAGGTAGGAAGTGAAAATTCTGGTACATTGAGAGAAAGGCTTGCAAAATTCATCTTTTCACCTTAGTCCTTCTGAACAAAATACCTTCTTCAATTAGAAAAAAGATTTTTAGAGAGAGAAAAAAGATTTTATAACGTTTGAAGCAAACCATTTCTGGGTTCAAAAATGTACTGTTAGGAAGTTCCCTTCTCTGCTCATGTCTCTCTTCTCCATGGAAGTTGATTTTTTTTTTTCTTTTAATATTGCTTTAGCTGGAAGAGCTTGGTGAATGTCACTTGGTTTATTTATTTATTTATTTATTGGAGAGGTTTTTGCTATAGAGCACATGCACTCACCAGAAAGACAGAGAGAGACAGAGAGACAGAAAACAAGAAATCACCCCCCAGGGTGGATGGCCATGCCGCAATCCCTTCTCTTCCATTCTCTTCTGGGGATCTTGGGCATACACTCACACGCAGTCGGCATGAGTTTAAGCTGCTGGGTCTAGGACTTGAACCATGATCAACTACATGGGAGCCCAGCGACATAACCATTATGCAACTACTGGTCCCCGCCACTTGGTTTCTTGAAACAGAAACTCATTACTCTTGCTGACTAAAAACTCCTCTGCTGTTAGATTGTTTTTCTAATCTTTTTTAGGTTTTTGTCACAGGGTACTGGAGATAGAGACAGCGAAAGGGAAAGTGAGAAGTCACCTCCCAAGGGTCATGGCCCTGCCACAATCCCTTCTCCATTCTCCTCTTGGGATTTTGGGCATGCACACACATGTGCATGGAATGATTTTCAAGCCACCAAGTCTGGTACCTGAACCACAGCCGTGTGGGAGTGTAGTGCCTTAATCCCCACACTACATGCCGACCCTGTGTTTTTCTAATCATTTTAATGTTGGTTAGTGTCTTTCTTCAAAAATTTAAATTAATGTTAACATTCTTCATTTAATATTGTCCTGCTTTCCCAATATTTCTTGAATTGCTTCACTGAAAATGGATACGGTATTCTTGTAGATTATAGATTATTCTTATTTTTATTCCATTAATAATGTAAACATACATTCACTGCAATGATTTGAACAAGGTCATGTGTAGCTCACATGTTTAATTAATCATTTGCTCTGAACTCAGCTGTATTCATTCATAGTCGTGTATCATTTTGAATTCTGTCATCTTGGGGGTTTGGCAAATTCGAAGTAAACTTCATGTTTCATTGACCTAGAGAAAAGTTTCCTGGGGAGGTCACAACCTTTCCTTAGGTTGATAGGGAGAATAAAACACAGAATTTGAAGTCAGAAGACCTAAACTTGGACCCTAATTCAACAACTCAATAGCAGTGTTATCTTAGAAAAATGCTACATTTTTCAGAGTTCTTTTTCTGCATTTTTACCTTGGAGATGAGCAATATTACCTCCCTCCATACACGGAAAGAAGCAAATAAGATAATGGAGTGAAAGCATTTTAAAGCAATTATGTCATTATTAGATGAGAATGCGATAGAGATAGCTTTATATAAACGTGAACGTTACTGGACTGGCTGCCAGTTCAGCTCGGGGACTAAACCAGGTTCAGCTGCTCTTGGCTTGGAAGCCAGAATTTGAGAGACCAGGGTTGGTGGAAAGGAAAAATAGCTTCAGTCCGTAAACTGGTGACCTGGAAGATGGCAAACTCATGTTCACACCCTTACCCCTGAAGTCTCAGTCTAACGAAAGGCTTTTAAAGGGGACGGTATGAGAATGCAAGGCAAGAAACCCGGCATGAGTTGTAAGCTGCCAGGTTCAGGACTCGAACTGCATGCTAGTTCATGTAACCATGACCTCATCTGCTGGTCCCCATGATGTATTTTTCTATGTTTTTCTATGCAAAAAATGAGTCATGACTTTTCTATGACCCAATATGTGTATGTGTGTATATATTTTTTTAGACTCCAGGCCATTTTGCAGAGATTACAACAGTTCAACATCTCCTTGACCAGCCCCATGGTCAAGGTTGTTTTCAGATGAGGCTGGGTCAGCTGGTCCTGACCATTCATACAGAAGTTCTTATCTTTCTAGTTTTGATGGCTTCTGGTCTCTGCAGCCTCAACAGGACTGTGATTAGTTTTGCAAGCTAAGTACTAAACAAGACTTATTATGCCAAAAATAAAATAAAATAAAAAAACAAAACAAGCTAACAGCTAGACTGCAGTATTTTAATCAGTGATGTTGAACTTAAAATGGAATTATTTTGGTTTCTCTTGTGGCCTGGCTACACGCATATAGGTTGGGTCATCAGAAAGTCATGACACGTTTCCTTTTTTTCGAGAGATTTTCACTATAGGGCACATGTGCTCACCAGAGAGACAGAAAGCAAGAAATCACCCACCAGAGGGGATGTCCATGCCACAGTTCCTTCTTCATTCTCCTCCTGGGACTCTAGGCACACATGCACATGCACCCGGCATGAGTTTTAAGCTGCTGAGTCTAGGACTCCAACTGCGGTCAACTACATGGTAGTTCAGTTTCTGAAAAACAATTTATATGAACAAAACATTGTATAAATATGAGGTCTGCATATCTCTGTATCTCACTGTTTTCACCCAGATTGACATGACTCTTTGAAATAGAGCTACAGGGAAGCCTTTTGATTCTGAAGCCAGGGCTAAGGATAATCACTAACGAGTAGCACTGGGCTAGTAGTAAAAAATACCCTAGGGGCAAATGTTTGGCCATTTCCTGTCCTTTTGTTTGCCTGTCATTTGTCTTTTCTAAGCCCTTTCCTCTCAGCTGGAGGCCTGGCACTCCTGAATATTATTACATTTCCCTGGCCCTCTCCATGGTTCACTGGGTCCTTTCAGGTCCTTTTTGCCTCTGTCCCTGGTTGGGGCCATCTGCAAATCCATGAGGCTGTTATTACCTCACCCCAAGTAATGCTGAAAGTCATAACAAAGCCAAGTCTCCTACCTTGACCAGGAATTCCTTTCTGATAAAAAGTGGATTCTTACTTTTTCCTTTGGCATGAAATCAAATCTACTTTCTCTGGGCCTGGAAGCTGTGTACCAAGTCTAAAAATGACAAAAGACATTTCAGCTCCGAGAGTGTGTAAGTGTCTGCGTTCTCTGCTCATCGCATTTGTTATCTGCCTTGCTTCCTTCTGGCCTTTTGGCATGCTTCCTGTGTTACGAGTATTTCTGAAATAAACCAGCATTCCCTTTTGGCATTTTGGCATTTATGAGGGGACATCAAATGTTCATGGAAAAAAAAATAGAAATAAGGTATGAGTTTATTTTGGTGCAAAAATATATTTGAAATCCATGCCTAGTGTTTTTGTAATAATGATTTTCCATGAAGATCCCTTGTACTGCCTGCAGATGGGTTTCCTGTATCTTCTCTCTTCAGTGTCCTTTTCTCTGGATCTCTTTAGCTGTGAACAGAACAGGGGTTGAAAGTGGGCCAGCCTGGTGTCCTGCCCATTCCCCCACCCCCAGTCATACTCTGAACTTGCCTGAAGACACACTGACTCCTTGTTTGAAATTCAACTCTCTTGCCGGAATGATCCTACATCAGACCCAAGTTGCCTTTAAAATGTGATGTGCTCCGTCACAGGACTCTTATGAAATGAAACCCAATCTTGTTTTGTGCTGTTTCCATGAGGCTATTCAATTCCTTGCATGCAGAGGAGTCCTGAGGGAGCAATCAGATATTGAGAAGGGCTCAGAGATGTCCTGGGGATGTTTCAAACCCTTTTAATCATGTGCTAATTTAATGGGAAGCACATAATATTTTGTATCACCATTAGAAAACCTCCACCTCTTATGAAAACCTCCCATAAATTCACACATAAAATCCCCAACATCCTACATTAGAGTTTAAAAAGATGTAGGTCAGAAGAGAGGTGGACCAGACATCTTTGATTACAAAGATTCTATCATAATTATTTGTAAAAAGCTTATCAATATCCTCCAGAATTTCAAAATACAGGCATACCTACAAATGTGGCACAGCTTTTCCAAGGAAGGGACAAACAGGAAGCTTTTGAAGTTGATGTGTGATTTAAATGCTTCGAGGACATACAGAATGAAGAAAGCGATGGGGAGGATCGTTAGAGATGGTACAGTCTCATTTTGCAATACTTCCATGTTGCAGCACACAGATTGTTCATACTCTCTGTGCAAATTCCCAGGACAGTAAGAGCCCCATTTCTGGTTAAATGCCCGGTTCCTTCTGGGTAAATCTTTTATGGATGAGGCTCTTTTCTTATGAACTGTCTTAAATTAGAAATAAGAAATAACTGGGTGATCTTTAACAGTGTATTATACTCTGGCTCTGAAAAAATACTCCTTGTAGTTTGTTTGCTTTCCAAAAACAGAAAGGAAGTAAAAGACAACACCGAAAGGGCAGTTCTTTGGTGCCCAAGGACAGTGCCGGGATGATGGGCTGGTGTGGATAGGCAGGCAGGGGGTTCCTCCAGCACTTACTAAGTTTAATGCTTCCCCAGGTGATGTTCAGATTCCAGGACCTCCCACTAATGTGCATGCCTCAGAAATCAGCAGAAACTATGTCGTCCTCAGCTGGGATCCACCTGTTCCCCGTGGCAAGGAGCCATTAACGTACTTCATTGAAAAGGTATGCCGTGGTCTCATTCCTGATAACGCGGGGGGCTGTGTGGTCTTCACACTGCCCCATTGCTATGTTGTAAAAGCTGAGCAGCCACCCCATCAGTTGCTAGCGATACTTCATCATTGTTACTGAAGATGGGGCGAAAGGCTGTGGCTGAACTGTGGCTGCATGAGTGTATCCTGGAGTGGAAAGTGACATGAGGGGAATTGATCCTAGAACTGCTTTGCCAGGTTTTGTGAGCAGTGCAATTGCTTCAGTGTTCTTCACTGTCCAGTGAAGTAACTGAATTGAGGGATCCGCATGCTTTCTTCCTCTCACAACATCCAGGCTCCCAGGTGCAGCTGATGCAGCATGGAGCAGGTTAGTTTTCCCTCACTCCTGTGGCCACTGGGTGGCGATCTTGCAGCGGGAATTCACACAAGACGGAGAAAGGTTAGAATCACTAGATCAGGAGCTTGAAGGCTTTTTCAACCTGAATGCATGTAAAGAAATACAAAATGCATTGTATATTGCAGCCTTATAGACACGCACACCCACACACACACACCCACACATACACATACACTCATATAACCAACACAATTTCAAAAATGATAACCTTATGTGATAGCATATAACACCTTTCTTTTAACTTTTTTTTGGTAATGCCATAAGGTGTGTGCATCAAGAGAGAGAGAGAGACAAAGAGACAAAGAGACACAGAGAAAGTACCACTTCCTGCCCTGTAACAGGGCTACAGGGCCTGATCATGCTGCAATCTCTTTTCTTCCAATTCCCTACCCAGTTAGAAGCCTGAGCATGCTTGTGTATCCAGCATGCTTATCAAGCTCCTGAGGGCAGGACTTGAACCCTGGCTAGCCACGTGGGATCTGTTTCCTCTGTATAGCATTTAAGCTTCATGCCACGGACCGGCTCAAGTTTCTCTTACGTTAGTCTGTTCTGTTGCATTAAAAAATGTGGGTTGTGACCCACTAATCTTATTTGATGACCCACTGTTGTGGGTCATAGTTGGAAAACCTTATAAGTCCTATGAACACTGTAACTATGGTTTTGTGATACTAAATTTATATTTTAATGTAATATACACTACACACAAAATAACTGGAGAGTTTTTAGGAATGCATTATACTTTGGCTCTGAAAAATATACTTTGCTTGCTTCTAAAACTAAAACATAAAATTTAACATAGCGTATGATATATAATACAATGATAATGTATATAACAACTTGATGCAGCATCACAGAAATGGAAATAAACAGTGTTTCAGACTCCAGAATGTCTGATGCTCTCCAACCTTCCCTACTTACCTGTAGTGCTTGGTTATCTCAGGGCTCTAACTGGAAGTATTGCTGGGCAGAGTGTTCCTTTTAATCCTAGATGATAACATGTTGCTATTTCATTGTGAAAATCCAAGTGGCGAGTCCTGTATGTGGAGTTATCCAGGATGGAAGGCATTTCTCAGGCCCTTCTTCAGAGGTGTTTCCCTACTCATCTACCACTGAGACTAGAAATACCAAGTTATTTCCAAACACGCTTTTAAATGTGGACTCCACGGTCGAGCTTGCATGTTAGCAAAGTTTTGCTTATTTCACTGCTTGCTGTCAGTATTGGTGGTGTGGCAGACTCACATTCTGATGTACAAGAGGAAAGTTTGGTAACTCTGGTACAGGTAGGGGTGAGTACTGCCTGGGACCTAGGGAGCAGTGGGTAGCTACAGACCCAGGCAGGGCTGCAGCATGGCTACTCCGAAGTGGGACAGATGGACATGCCCCAGATGGTGGGGACACTCAGCTGCACTACTTGCTGCAGTTAGCTTGTTGAGCACAGTCCCGCTTCAAGCCACAGATCTTTTGGTGACTGAGTTCATTTGTTCGCTTCTTTCTTCCTTCCTTTCTTCCTTCCTTCTCTTCCTTCCTTATTTCTTTCTCCTTCCTTCCTTCCTTCCTTCCTTCCTTCCTTCCTTCCTTCCTTCCTTCCTTCCTCCCTTCCTCCCCCCCTCCCCCCCTCCCCCCCCCTTTCCGTCTTGTTAGAAGGCTTGGCACCCACCAGAGAGAGAACAAGTGAGCATCCCTCAATAGGACTCGGTCAGTCCTGTTTCTCTCTTTGGTTTCTCCACCCTTTAAAACCGTCTTGAGATTTTGAGTATGCACGCATACGCGCCTGGAGTGTTTTTAAGCTGCTGGGGCTAGGCTCTGGACCACATAGTCGGCCGTGTGGGATCTAGTTCTCTTAAGTGCAAGACAGTGAGGCCAGCCCAAGGTGACTAAATTTCTATTGAGGCCTTCACAGAACCTCAGGAATAGTTACAACTTAGTAACATTTTGCTCTCCTTGGCACCTCTATTTTCCTTTCACGCTAAGAGCAGATATGAAATAATGTGCACTGAACTAACACATATGATTTTAGGCCAACTATCAGTGTCCATTGGACTGCATAGAATTAAGCATGACCTTTCCTCTTGATCATTTCAACTGTAATGATGGAGGAGGCTCTTTCATCGAGTAGATTTGTGATGACACATGGCCTGCTTTCTGTGTGTTGAGAGCCCATGGCTTCAGCGGTCTAGTGGGTGATTACTTCCCTTGAGATGTTTTGCTCCTGTCGAGTGCACAGTGCATGTGACCTGGTCTGCTGGCGTGTGGTAGGTGCCCCCTACCAAAGGCATCAGACCCCACCCGCATGGTCCTCCAGTGTCTTCCTAAACCACGGATGGCCAGAACATGATTGTCCATCTCCCAAGCTCCTCTTTGGCTTCTGGAAGTTGAGTGGCTTGCAGGGTCCCCTACTCCATCACTGTCTTCCCTCCTTTACCTCGAGGGTCCTTTTCTCTGACTGACCCCAGCTGTGTCCTCCATGGCTCTGTCAATCTGGGTCCCCCGGGTCCCAGACTCCAGCTGTATAGACTGAGGACACTGAGTCAGGAGAGGCAGGCATATAGGCATCCCTGGGGTCTCCTTCCATAAACACCTGGGCTAGTTCTGAAAACTGACATTTTGCTTCTGTCAAAATGAGAGAAAATGCTTCCTTTGAACATAAATCTAGTTTCCAGGGTTGCTATTTGAAATGTTTTCGGAGTTCTTTTCAGCATATTTAGCAGGGTCACGACGTGTCCAACTTTACGGCCACAGGATTACTTTCAGAAAGGGGATTTTATCTCTTTAGGAATATAAACATGTCATCCAGGTTGTTAAGGCAATGATTAAAGGTAATTATGAAATTATTAATGACGATTAAATTATTACAATTAAACATGCAGTATATAAAACTTAAAAATACAGAGAAGTTACATAGACTAAATCACTAGTAATTATATCCTATAAAACAGCTGCTATTATCATGTAGTACCTGCACCTATAACTTTTTCCCATGGATTTTATGCACTTGACGTGCCCAACAATTTACATTGTGCATTGCACTGAGCAAGGTGACACTGTCATTCCTCTCCTGTGACAGGAGATTTTTATACAGTCATGTAAACCACTGCATGTTTTTGAATATGTGAACATATGATGTGTTTTACCTTACTGGTCAGTATTTACCTTGTTATCACCTTATTGTAAATAACCACAATACAGTAACATTTTTAAACTGAAATGTGAGCCCTTGAACTTTGATGGAATTTTGCAAATATACTAAATTATCTTTATTTTATATTTGCTATAGGGCACATTCATTTACCAGAAATAGACAGAGATAGAGAGAGGGAGAAGGAAAATGAGAAAGCACCCCCTAGGGGGATGGCCACACTGCAATCCCTTCTTCGACATTTTTCTCTTGGAATTTTGGACATGCACACACACATACTCGGTGTGTTTCTTCCAGCTGCTGAGTCCAGGACTCGAACCTTGCAGCCGACCATGTAATCCAGTCACCTTAACCACCACACTTTCAACTGTACAGTTCATTTCATTTCACTGAAACTACAAACTATGTGTTGATTCCTTAAATTTGCTATTGTTCATTTGCTTTAATAGAAAAAATTTTATTGGTCAACATTTTCAACTTCGATCTCTTACTTATGAATCCAAATTGAAGTTGCATTTTGTCAAGTTCAGAACATGCTTACGGAGTGTCTGCCGTGTGCAGGACACTGGGACATATTTAGAGTGTAGTCTGAAGAGCTCAGTTCAGAGTATTTCCTTCCACACACTCTTGGTGAGTCTCAGTTGTCATCACAAGTCCTGTTTCTCTTTCAGTCCGTGGTTGGAAGTGGCAGCTGGCAGCGGGTCAACGCGCAGACAGCTGTGCGGTCCCCTCGGTACGCCGTTTTTGATCTCGCAGACGGGAAATCCTATGTATTCCGAGTTTTATCAGCAAATAAGCACGGCCTAAGTGACCCATCGGAAATAACATCTCCTATTCAGGCACAGGATACAGTTGGTAAGTTATTTAATTAAAAAAAATTATTATATTTTTAGAGGTTTTTTCCATAGGGTGTGTACTCTTGCTGGAGAGAGACAGAGATAATGAGAGGGAAATTGAGAAATCACTCCCCGGGGGGATGGCCACGCCATCCTTTCTCCTCCCTTCTCCTGGGATCTTGGGCGTGCATGCACACTTATCTGGAATGAATTTTAAGCCACTGGATCTGGGACTCTAACTGTGGTCAGCCATGTGGGTGTCCAGTGACATAACCACTTTGCCATCTGTTGGTTCCAGTTAAGTTGTTAAGGGGAGTGACTAAAAGTTAGGACAAGGCAAAATTAAGTAGCATCGTTAAATTGTGTGAATGAAGACATTAATGTGACAAAAGAGTTAGAATTCGAGCTGCCTTGAAGTTTCATTTTACAAGGAACGGAGAGCTTTCCACTGCATTTTAAGTGGTTCTTTACATTTCTTCCAAGTCCCATCTTTTATTTGTGAAACCAATAAATGGGATAAAACATTTATTTAGGCAATGGTCACTTTTTTTTTTTTTTTTAAAAAAAAACCCAGCTCTAAAGTCACTAAAGCTTTTTGTTCATTTGGCTTAAGATCTTCCTGGAAGATTCCCAATAGGAATTACCAAAATTCTGAATGGTAGTCCACTCAGGGACTGAAGCAATTACTAGGAGGCTTTCCAGAGAGCTTCTGAAGCTATTGTGGTAGAGACATTTTGTTAGGAACGCTGACTCTCCGTAGCAGGGTCTCTCTCTCTCTCTCTCTCTCTCTCTCTCCTTTCCTTTTACGCTACTTTATCTTTGGAATGAAAAAGCCAACTAACAAAATGAACAAGGTAGTAAGGCTACTATTGGGAATGGAGTCATAAGCCTCTTCCAGGTCATCCTTAGGCTTTTACCTGCTTCTGGTTTAGCCAAAGCTCTTAGAACTCATCTCCAGAACAAAGGGGTGAAGAAAGTCTGTCTGCAGGGGCCCTGGTCTTTTTAACTCTATGGCAAATGTCGAACTGGACAATACTTGACTAGACCCTGGGGTATGTGGCCAAGGTGGCTGACGCTGAGAAAGCTGGTGGCACCAAGAGATGGTGAGACCTCTGACCATACCCCATTGAGGGCCTGACATGAGGTGATTTAATTTCAATTCTTGTAAAGTGTATTTTATGTCTTAAAATTGCTATTTTACTTTTTATTTTGGAGAGGTTTTCGCTATAGGGTGCGTGTGCTCTCCAGACAGAGAGACATAGAGACAGAAAGTGAGAAATCACCCCCCCAGGGGGGATCGTCATGCTGCAATCCCTTCTCCTCCATTCTCCTCTCAGGACCTTGGGCACGCACGCACACACGCCTGGTGTGAGTTTTAAGCCACCGGGTCCTGGACGCGAACCGCGGTCGACTACGTGGGAGTCCAACGACATAGCCATTACGCTAACTGCTGGTTCCCGGTATTTTACATTCTAAAAAGAGTTGTCATCCAGTTATCCAAAAAAACGTATGTTGCCAGAAATGTTTCTTATTTATTTATTTGTTGGTTTGTTTGTTTTTGCCAGAGAGGATGTATATCCAAATTTTACCCAAAGTCCCACACTTGGTTTGCCATTCCTGAGGAAAAAGGGACTCAGCTGTCTCTGGTGTATCTTCCCAAACTCTGACACATGTCACTGTCATTTTTTTCTCCTCTGCAAAGTCATTCCTTCTGCACCTGGTCGGGTCCTTGCTTCTCGAAACACCAAGACGTCCGTGGTGGTGCAGTGGGACAAGCCAAAACATGAAGAAGACTTGCTGGGCTACTACGTGGACTGCTGTGTGGCAGGGACCAACCTCTGGGAGCCATGCAATCACAAGCCCATTGGCTACAACAGGTGACCAACCCCACCCTCCCGTGTCTCTGAGATCAGGGCTTGGGAGTCAAGTGGAAGAAGCCAAACTAAGTAGAAACCAAGGGGCTTTCAGGACAGTCCACGCTATGGCAGAGCATATCCACACAAGCTCTATGTAAATGAGCTTTGGTCTTAGTTGCCCATGAGGGAATATATCATTTTAAAATTTGACCACTTTTTTTTTTAAGAATTATTAATTTAATTTATTATTATTATTATTAAAAACAATTGCTGTAGGGCATGCATGCTCTCCAGAGAGAGGGAGAGAGAGGGAGAGAGAGAGCAAGAAAGCAAGCCACCAGGTCTGGGACTCAAGCCATGATTGGCCATGTGGGAGTCCAGGGTCTTAGCTACCATGCCACCTGCTGGCCCTTGACCACTTTTGATGAGTGAGCTACCACACTAGCTCATCTGGATCGACATGAAAGAAGAGTCCCTTTAGAACCTGGGTTTCTCTGACATAATGAGCATGCAGGACATTTCTTCCAACAGGAGAGTTAAAAATAGCAACTACTATGTGAAAGCTGTTTTATTTTTCCGTATTGATTTTTTGAACTTTCAGAATTGCTTTGTTCACATAACTGGTGGTCCTATTATTCTCCAGTCACTGACTGAAGCAGTGCTGGGCAGGACATGTTTCTCCTGCAGAAGGGGCAGGTCGGGGGACTCCGACTTCCTTTGCAGGGGAAGGCCAGTGTCTTTACGTGTGGAATTGATTTACTCCTGCTTCATGCTGAGTGTGCAGAGATGGTCTGAGCTTATTAGGCTTTCTCCACGATATGCTTCTTAGGAAAATGTAGGCAGCTGTCAGAACCGTCCTTGTGAAGAGGTTATCAATTACGGCCCAGCCATTTCCCGTTTTTAACTCTTTTTTCCCTTTTAACATTGTAAAAATAAGCTGTGGCTAGAAAAGAAGAGATGTAATTGAGGAGAACAAGGCAAATAATGGTTAGATGTTCTTCACAGTCAGTGACTAGCTAATACGGAAGCGCTATCAGAATAAGAAACCTAAAATATTATTGTATTAATAGTACAGGGATTTTGTAAATGATTAAGATATGTTTGTTGACTATCTTAAGATAAATAATAATTGCTTACATCTCCTGAATAGCTGCTCTATGCAAGGTCACTGTGATAAGTACTTTACTTAATGCAATGTACTTTATTTTGTATTATTATTATTATTTTTTTTGAGAGGTTTTTGCTATAGGGCGTGAGTGCTCACCAGAAAGACAGAAAGAGACAGAGAGACAGAAAGCGAGAAATCACCCCCCAGGGGGTATGGCAACACTGCAGTTCCTTCTCCTCCATTCTCCTCTTCAGATCTTGGGCATGCATGCACACGTGCCGTGTATGAGTTTAAGCTGCCGGGTCTGGGACTTGAACCACGGTCAACTACATGGGAGTCCAGCAACATAGCCATTACGCCAACTGCTGGTCCCATGCAATGTACTTTATTTTAAACAATGCTGTGAATTGGTAATATCGTGCCCGTTTTATATTAGGTTGTTGGGAAAGTCATGATATGTTTTCTATGCAAAAATGTGTCATGGCTTTTCCGATGACCCAATAGATGGGAAAGTTAAGTTCCATAGGAGTTAAATAACTTAAGGATGCAACGTCTGTTAAATGTCAAAGCCAATATTTGAGCCTAGTTACTCTGACTTCAATGTCTTAGATGTTAGTCACCACAGTATATTAGTTCTCATGAAGTTTTTCATACATGAGTACACTAAGTTAAGGACTCAGATAATTATTTTATATTAAAGTTTTAATCCATACAAAGCCAAAATACGCAAAAAATGAAGGAATCACAGAATAAATCACTCTGATACTCAGGTGGACAACTCCTGGTCTAACTTTTGTAAGTTGTTATCTGATTTTTTGACCCTGAATATTGAACTAATTAACTGAAATTAAAACTAGAAGCAAATGCATGAGTATCTTCATAAAGGTCATGGAAGATGCATGTTATGAGAAAACTGTTCATAGTTGTTATTATTTTTAGAAGTTTTTGCCTTAGGGTCTGTGTGCTTGCTGGAAGTGGGGTGGGGAGAGAGAGAGAGACAGACACTGAGGAAAAAGTGAGAAATCACCCCCAGAAGAAATTACCTCACTGCATTCCTTTCTCCATTCTTTTCTCAGAATATTGGGCATGCACACACATGTGCCTGGCATGAGTTTTAAGCCACCATGTCTGGGACTTGAACTGTGGTCAGCCACAAGGGAGATCAGAGATGTAACCATTATTCCTTCTACCGGCTCCAACTATTCATAGGTTTTTATTTTTTTTTTTTATTTTTTTTTTTGAGAGAGATTTTTGCTATAGGGCATGTGTGCTCACCAGACAAAGAGCTAAAGAGAGACAGAAAGTGAGAAATCCCCCCACCCTGGGGGAGGAAGATGGCCACGTTGCAATGCCTTCTTCTCCATTCTCCTCTCAAGATCTTGGGCACGCACACACACACTCCTGGCATAAGGTTCAAGCTGCCGGGCTGGGACTTGAACTTTGGTCAAGTACGTGGGAGTTGAGTGATGTAACCATTACACTATTGGCTGGTCCCACTATTCATAGATTTCAAAAAGTTTTTGCAGCAAAATACACTTTACTTTGATTGCATTTTTTCCCTATACACTTCAAGTTTTCTTTTCTTTTTTTTTTGTATATTATACAAATACAAGACAGTCATGAACTTTGCTTTAACAAAGCAGTCAACTTTGCTTTAACCGAAATAAACAATTTTTATTGAGTGTTCAAATGATTTCTACGTCAGCTGTGGGAGGAAAGCAAACCTGAGCTGTGTAGTCGTGACTCTGATTCATGTTTCTCTCAGGTTTGTCGTGCACGGCTTAACGACTGGGGAGCAATACATCTTCCGGGTGAAAGCTGTCAATGCTGTGGGGACCAGTGAAAACTCCCAAGAATCTGACGTCATAAAAGTCCAGGCGGCTCTCAGTACGTACCCAATAGGCTATTCTGCTCCAATTTTCCCTTCTCCCATACACTGTAATTTCTGCATGAATAAACATTTATGATGCCATTTGGAATGTTGCCAGAGGGAAAAGGGGGATGTAAATTGTTGAACAGAGGATTTGCGACTCTGTTGAAATGTCTCATCATTGGCTACTTGTCTTGAAAATGCCAGTGTGGAAGGGAGAAATGATAATATGCTAATAAAATGCAAATTAAAAATAGAAAACACTATTAGAGATCACATTTGTTTTCAAAAGGCTGTACTCACACTAAAATATATGCTATAGGATATGAATTTATTTTTTTTCAAAATATGTACTAAAATAGACAATGGCCTTTTTAGCAAGCCTGAGTTTAAGAAAGTTTAATAAGCCTGTGGAACTACCGCCTCTGACTCTGGGAGCTGAAGTTTCAGAAGGAAGACTCGTAGCCGTATTGAGGCCATCCATACAGGCATTCTGGGTGAGCTCTCACATTCCCTATTAACTCCTCAGCTTGGAGGTACCAAATAATGTCACCTGAAACATTGCCAGTATTTATCGAAACTTCTAATGGTGACACAAAGCAAGATGTGAGCTAAAATCCAAATTAGGTGAAGGGTCTGAGGCAGTCTCTAAATGACAAACGAAGAAGCTCATGGGACAGAAACAACGAGAAGAACAACGAGAACTCCACGAACAAAAATGGAAGGAGAAGCGCAAGAACCTAGAGCGACAGTGTCAACTGGAATCCAACTCAGGTGAAAATGACAGAAAATGTGTTCCAAGACACGTTGTTCCCAGCACACTCTGCCTTATCATTGACTATAGTTTTGATGACTCAACGGAACGAAAGGACATTAAAAGCTTCATAAGCAGATTCAACGCTGTTACGCAGAGAACAGGCAGGCTGCATCCTGTGAGGGGCCGTGGAGGCCAGCTGGAAAAGAACCTGGATGAAAATGACAAAGGATGGATCAACTGGGAGGACACCTACCTCAAACCAGGACACGACGGCGAACTCATGAAAGAAGACCTGACTTATCCGACCTCAGATTTGCTTACTGTACTGAAGGAATGAGCTGAAGCAAAGGCTCATGTGCTTGGAAGATTAGTGGATCACGACGTAGGGCATGCATGCTCTCCAGAGAGAGGGAGAGAGAGGGAGAGAGAGAGCAAGAAAGCAAGCCACCAGGTCTGGGACTCAAGCCATGATTGGCCATGTGGGAGTCCAGGGTCTTAGCTACCATGCCACCTGCTGGCCCTTGACCACTTTTGATGAGTGAGCTACCACACTAGCTCATCTGGATCGACATGAAAGAAGAGTCCCTTTAGAACCTGGGTTTCTCTGACATAATGAGCATGCAGGACATTTCTTCCAACAGGAGAGTTAAAAATAGCAACTACTATGTGAAAGCTGTTTTATTTTTCCGTATTGATTTTTTGAACTTTCAGAATTGCTTTGTTCACATAACTGGTGGTCCTATTATTCTCCAGTCACTGACTGAAGCAGTGCTGGGCAGGACATGTTTCTCCTGCAGAAGGGGCAGGTCGGGGGACTCCGACTTCCTTTGCAGGGGAAGGCCAGTGTCTTTACGTGTGGAATTGATTTACTCCTGCTTCATGCTGAGTGTGCAGAGATGGTCTGAGCTTATTAGGCTTTCTCCACGATATGCTTCTTAGGAAAATGTAGGCAGCTGTCAGAACCGTCCTTGTGAAGAGGTTATCAATTACGGCCCAGCCATTTCCCGTTTTTAACTCTTTTTTCCCTTTTAACATTGTAAAAATAAGCTGTGGCTAGAAAAGAAGAGATGTAATTGAGGAGAACAAGGCAAATAATGGTTAGATGTTCTTCACAGTCAGTGACTAGCTAATACGGAAGCGCTATCAGAATAAGAAACCTAAAATATTATTGTATTAATAGTACAGGGATTTTGTAAATGATTAAGATATGTTTGTTGACTATCTTAAGATAAATAATAATTGCTTACATCTCCTGAATAGCTGCTCTATGCAAGGTCACTGTGATAAGTACTTTACTTAATGCAATGTACTTTATTTTGTATTATTATTATTATTTTTTTTGAGAGGTTTTTGCTATAGGGCGTGAGTGCTCACCAGAAAGACAGAAAGAGACAGAGAGACAGAAAGCGAGAAATCACCCCCCAGGGGGTATGTACACACTGCAGTTCCTTCTCCTCCATTCTCCTCTTCAGATCTTGGGCATGCATGCACACGTGCCTTGTATGAGTTTAAGCTGCCGGGTCTGGGACTTGAACCACGGTCAACTACATGGGAGTCCAGCAACATAGCCATTACGCCAACTGCTGGTCCCATGCAATGTACTTTATTTTAAACAATGCTGTGAATTGGTAATATCGTGCCCGTTTTATATTAGGTTGTTGGGAAAGTCATGATATGTTTTCTATGCAAAAATGTGTCATGGCTTTTCCGATGACCCAATAGATGGGAAAGTTAAGTTCCATAGGAGTTAAATAACTTAAGGATGCAACGTCTGTTAAATGTCAAAGCCAATATTTGAGCCTAGTTACTCTGACTTCAATGTCTTAGATGTTAGTCACCACAGTATATTAGTTCTCATGAAGTTTTTCATACATGAGTACACTAAGTTAAGGACTCAGATAATTATTTTATATTAAAGTTTTAATCCATACAAAGCCAAAATACGCAAAAAATGAAGGAATCACAGAATAAATCACTCTGATACTCAGGTGGACAACTCCTGGTCTAACTTTTGTAAGTTGTTATCTGATTTTTTGACCCTGAATATTGAACTAATTAACTGAAATTAAAACTAGAAGCAAATGCATGAGTATCTTCATAAAGGTCATGGAAGATGCATGTTATGAGAAAACTGTTCATAGTTGTTATTATTTTTAGAAGTTTTTGCCTTAGGGTCTGTGTGCTTGCTGGAAGTGGGGTGGGGAGAGAGAGAGAGACAGACACTGAGGAAAAAGTGAGAAATCACCCCCAGAAGAAATTACCTCACTGCATTCCTTTCTCCATTCTTTTCTCAGAATATTGGGCATGCACACACATGTGCCTGGCATGAGTTTTAAGCCACCATGTCTGGGACTTGAACTGTGGTCAGCCACAAGGGAGATCAGAGATGTAACCATTATTCCTTCTACCGGCTCCAACTATTCATAGGTTTTTATTTTTTTTTTTTATTTTTTTTTTTGAGAGAGATTTTTGCTATAGGGCATGTGTGCTCACCAGACAAAGAGCTAAAGAGAGACAGAAAGTGAGAAATCCCCCCACCCTGGGGGAGGAAGATGGCCACGTTGCAATGCCTTCTTCTCCATTCTCCTCTCAAGATCTTGGGCACGCACACACACACTCCTGGCATAAGGTTCAAGCTGCCGGGCTGGGACTTGAACTTTGGTCAAGTACGTGGGAGTTGAGTGATGTAACCATTACACTATTGGCTGGTCCCACTATTCATAGATTTCAAAAAGTTTTTGCAGCAAAATACACTTTACTTTGATTGCATTTTTTCCCTATACACTTCAAGTTTTCTTTTCTTTTTTTTTTGTATATTATACAAATACAAGACAGTCATGAACTTTGCTTTAACAAAGCAGTCAACTTTGCTTTAACCGAAATAAACAATTTTTATTGAGTGTTCAAATGATTTCTACGTCAGCTGTGGGAGGAAAGCAAACCTGAGCTGTGTAGTCGTGACTCTGATTCATGTTTCTCTCAGGTTTGTCGTGCACGGCTTAACGACTGGGGAGCAATACATCTTCCGGGTGAAAGCTGTCAATGCTGTGGGGACCAGTGAAAACTCCCAAGAATCTGACGTCATAAAAGTCCAGGCGGCTCTCAGTACGTACCCAATAGGCTATTCTGCTCCAATTTTCCCTTCTCCCATACACTGTAATTTCTGCATGAATAAACATTTATGATGCCATTTGGAATGTTGCCAGAGGGAAAAGGGGGATGTAAATTGTTGAACAGAGGATTTGCGACTCTGTTGAAATGTCTCATCATTGGCTACTTGTCTTGAAAATGCCAGTGTGGAAGGGAGAAATGATAATATGCTAATAAAATGCAAATTAAAAATAGAAAACACTATTAGAGATCACATTTGTTTTCAAAAGGCTGTACTCACACTAAAATCTATACTATAGGATATGAATTTATTTTTTTTCAAAATATGTACTAAAATAGACAATGGCCTTTTTAGCAAGCCTGAGTTTAAGAAAATAAGCCTGGCCTGTGGAACTACCGCCTCTGACTCTGGGAGCTGAAGTTTCAGAAGGAAGACTCGTAGCCGTATTGAGGCCATCCATACAGGCATTCTGGGTGAGCTCTCACATTCCCTATTAACTCCTCAGCTTGGAGGTACCAAATAATGTCACCTGAAACATTGCCAGTATTTATCGAAACTTCTAATGGTGACACAAAGCAAGATGTGAGCTAAAATCCAAATTAGGTGAAGGGTCTGAGGCAGTCTCTAAATGACAAACGAAGAAGCTCATGGGACAGAAACAACGAGAAGAACAACGAGAACTCCACGAACAAAAATGGAAGGAGAAGCGCAAGAACCTAGAGCGACAGTGTCAACTGGAATCCAACTCAGGTGAAAATGACAGAAAATGTGTTCCAAGACACGTTGTTCCCAGCACACTCTGCCTTATCATTGACTATAGTTTTGATGACTCAACGGAACGAAAGGACATTAAAAGCTTCATAAGCAGATTCAACGCTGTTACGCAGAGAACAGGCAGGCTGCATCCTGTGAGGGGCCGTGGAGGCCAGCTGGAAAAGAACCTGGATGAAAATGACAAAGGATGGATCAACTGGGAGGACACCTACCTCAAACCAGGACACGACGGCGAACTCATGAAAGAAGACCTGACTTATCCGACCTCAGATTTGCTTACTGTACTGAAGGAATGAGCTGAAGCAAAGGCTCATGTGCTTGGAAGATTAGTGGATCACGACCACCATAAGGGACTCACATAAGCAGGCGTCAGGTCATGGAATGGATGATGCACAGCTCCCCTTGGAAACTTCGTGAAGAGGTACAGTCACCAAGTCTTGGCAGTTAATCATGTGTTTCAGATTATTCTGGGGTACCTGGAAACAAGAGACTGGCGAGAAGCAGTTTTTACTATTTTACCTCAACAGAAAGGAGACGTTCCCATAGACAAAGCCCATGAAAATTCTTCATATGACAAGCAGTCCTCCAGGGCTGAAGGTGGATTGGACAGTGATTCCAGTGAGGAGAAATGGAGCAGAATTGAGCTAGATTTACCACTAGAAGACGAAAAGCAGAATAAGGAAAATGGTGCTGAATCCACGGTGGACACTGCACTGCACTGTTACCTGGTTTTCTTTTAATTTAAGGAAAAATTAGGAGAAAATGAGGTACTTCATAGAATATTCAAATTGGAAGATTTCTTTTTTATTTTTGCTAATTAATACCTTTTTTCAGTGCTAAATGATAATAAAAAGCCTTTTAAATGCTGGTAAAAAAAGAAAGTTTAATAAGTCACTTCAGAGAAATTCAAATGTCTATGTACCTCTGTGGCTTTGCTCATAAATAGCGATCTTTAAAATAGTTATTATTTTGAGCTAACAAAACAATCTAGACCCTTAATCTCGGTAATAGCCCCTTGAAAATTTGATGTTTAAAGCTCCGTATTTTATAACTATTACTCTAGTTATTTTCCATTAAATGTACCACATCATTTAGAGATATTCAGGAACACTTTGAAATAGTAATATCACAAATTACATCTTGAAACACAGTATTGTCTGTTTTTGTTCTTGATTTTTTTTTTTTTTTGGATATAGGGTGTGTACACTCATCAGAGAGAGATAGAGAGAAAGAGAAGGGGAAAGTGAGAAATCAGTCATCCCCCAGGGATGGCCCACACTGTAATTCTTTCTTGTCCATTTTTTCTCTTAGGATCGTGGTCACACACACGCGCGCGCACACACACACACACACACACACACACACACACCTGGCATGATTTTCAAGACACCAGGTCCAGGACTCCAACTGTGCTGTTGGTACGTGGGACCCAGCCACCTTAACCTCCATTCTACCATGGTATTATCTTTTAACTTAGGAAAGAAATGTTTTGCTTTTTAATTTTTTTCCAACTAATTTAACTTTTTCAGAAACTATAATTTCTCTTCTAATAATGTTACTGTCATTTCCTTGGAATTTCAAATCTGATGATATCTAAGTAGAGATAATAGCAGAAAGTCAACCATCCCCCCCCCTTTTTTAAAGTAAGAATTATTTCATTTTATTTAATTTATTATTATTATTTTTAAAAATTTGACCTGAGAGAGTCAGAGAGAGAGAGAGAGAGAGAGAGAGAGAAGAGGAAAGTGAGAAAGCGAGCTACCAGGTCTGGGACTTGAACTCTAGTCAGCCATGTGGAAATCATTATTCTAATTTCTTCTCAGTTTTTCCCAGAAGTGACTTTCAGATGTTTCACTGACTTTCTAAGTCATCCTACTAAATAAAAGCCAAGCATTTAAGTTCTATTCTACACTAAGGATCACTTATTTCTGTCTCGCCTGTCGTTTCTCAGGTAATGGAGGAACACCGTATCTAGGTTACTCAGATTCAAGATGAAAACAGAGACACATTTCTCTCAATCCGTTTGGAAAAGATGGGTCATCCTTCCAAATGGTACTTAAACAGAGAAATCTGAGTTCATGCTCATTAGAATTGAGCTGAAGTTTCCATAAGTGCGCAGGAAATTAAACCTTATCAGAATAAATAATGCTTGTCGTCTCTGGCTGTGGATGCCCAGTTGTTCTTCAAGGTTGTAAAGGAGAAAGCCTCTTCTCAGTTTTCCTTAAGGGGTCAGGGAGGAAATCTTCTCTTAAAGAGTTTCAGATATCCAGACCAGATTTAAATAATTCATTGTCCTTGTATTATTAAAAAGTAGACGTATTTAGAAATAGCAGGGTCAGCAGGGAGTGTGGTGGTTAAGGCATTCATCTACCACACAGTCAATCGTGGTTTGAGTCCTGGACTCGGCAACTTGAAAATCATGCTAGGTGCATGTGTGTGCATGCCCAGAATCCTGAGAGGAGAATGGAGGAGAAGGGATTGCTGCATGGTCATCCCCCCCAGGGGTGATTTTTCACTTTCCTTCTCTCCATCTCTGTCTCCCTCAAGTGAGCACATGTACTCTATAGCAAAATACCTTAAAAAAAAGCAATGACTTTACATGAGAGAATTTTTAGTTAGGTTTTAGTTATTTAGTTTTTAGAGGACTAAAACAAGATATAAATGGAAATAAAGACTGTTAAAAGGTAGGTCCATAGAGAGCAGCTGACATGAATATTCAGGATTATCTTGCCATTGTTGGCTCTCCCTCCCTCTGAAAGGTAAGAGTCTTCCACCTAGTAGGATGGAGACTGTGGAGCTAAGGACCTGGGTAACTGTCACACTTGTGTTTCCTTGCAGCTGTCCCATCTCATCCTTACGGGATTACGCTTCTGAACTGTGATGGGCATTCCATGACCCTTGGTTGGAAGGTACCGAAATTCAGCGGTGGCTCAGCCATCCTGGGCTATTATATAGACAAGCGCGAAGCTCATCATAAGAACTGGCATGAGGTCAATTCTTCACCTATCAAGGAGAGGATCTTAACGGTTGGTTTTTATTTGTGCCTCTATTTTTGCCTGGGCGATTGTAACATCTTGGATAAGCCTTTATTGTGATAACAGTCAATGACCTTAGATAATTTGATACGGAAAAGAAAATGGATTAAAAATTGGTAGTGTTATGAGATCATGAAGTTTTGGAACTAGAAAAACCTTAGGAGCCTTTTAAAAAATGTTAAAAAATTGTATTATTCATTTGTTTATTTTACATTTAATCACTGTGTATTGATACCATATACCAAATGAATTTTCCTATTCTGAATATACTGTATATTGGTTCAGTCAAAGATATTACCATACATTTTATCATCCACAGATAATTTTCCATTCTTGTGTCCCTTAAATGTCTTCATTATTTTTTTCCTTGTTTATTTATTTATTTATTTTTAATCCTGAGAAGCAACGTAGGAGAGAAGAGCCCAGTGATATAGTGAGTTTGACAATTAGTTAATGACCATAGGGTGAACAGACCCAGGGCACCATCCCTTGTCCTAACTATGAGCCCCTTGAAGGCAGTGATGCAGTCTTAGAGTGTTTTTATTGTTAGTGCAGAGCCCAGTGCCTGAAAATAGAGTTGGTGTCTGATAAATGTTTATTAAAAAAATGATAGGACCTTTCTGTGTGTTAACCACCATTTCCCTGAGAAATCTGTGTATTTTGAGCCTTTGAGATAGTCATTTGCTATAGTATACATTATGTCCAGGTGGAAAGAATAAAAAGAACATCAATTTAGAGCATATAAGGTCTGGAAATAAATCCAGATGCCAACCCTTGGCATCTGCTTGGCTCGTTCGCCCTTCCTTCCTTCCTTCCTTCCTTCCTTCCTTCCTTCTTTTTCTTTTTCTTTTCCTTTTTCATTTATTTTTCTCTTTTTTCTTCCTTTTCTTTCTCTTTTTTTTTCTTTTTCTTTCCTTCTTTTTCTGTGATATCGAATTTATCTATTAATTATTATTTTTTTATAAAGCAAAACTTGCAGATTTTCTTTACAGCAGAGAACTTTACATTCTTTTGTCCGTTAAGAGTGTCTTCCCATTACCCCTCTCACTCGCCCACCACCCACTCCCCTGCCTTCCAGTCTCTGGTGTCTATACCCCTCCTCTCTCCTCTCATCTTTGGATCTTTCAGTTTCTGCCATGGAGCAGACATATTGAGCTGGGATGTCCAGTGTGTGTCCTTCAGTCTGGCTCACTTTGGTTAACATGAAGTCTTCTGTATTCTATTTCACTGTCTATGCTTTTTATTCCTCCTTTGAACTGTGATGAGTGAGTCGTGATGAGTGAGGCTTTCCTCACACAGTAGGTCACATCTCTATCTCAATGGAAGGTTGAATCTCACATTGGTTTTGGGGCAGGACAGATCTTTGAAGGCCTAATCTGTCTTAAAGAAAATGCTGCTTGATAAAGTATATGCTATTTTAATAATACATTTATATAATGAAATATATTTACAACATATTCTCTGTATATTATGATATATGTTGCCTAAATTCAGGTTTGGTGTCATGTTGAAATAGTGCCCATGTTCAACCTTTGGTACTTTACTATGCATAGCTGTTCATCATTTTAAATTTAATCTTACTTTTTATTTAAATAATTTTATTTAACTTTATTTATTTACTTATTTTTAAATCTGACCTGAGAGGGACAGAGTGAGAGAGCGAGAGAGAGAGGGAAAGTGAGAAAGCAAGCCGCCAGGTCCAGGACTTGAACTGTGGTCGACCATGTGGGAGTCCAGAGCTCCTAACCACCATGCCACCTGCTGGTCCCTTAATTTTACTTTTAATGGACAAATAGCTGTGTATATCAATGGGGTACAAGGTGATATTTTGATATATGTTCCCATCACAAAATGATTAAATCAAGCTAGTTAAATCTATTTTCCCATATATTTATACTTATTGTGGCAAGTATGTTTATCAATCTAGTCTTTCAAAATTCTGCAGTATGCAATGCATTATTGTTAACTATAGTCACCATGCTGTGTGACAAATTACTAAAACTTACTCTTCCTGTTTAACTGAGATCTTATCCCTTCAGAAGAACATCTCCTCAACCTCCCCCCTTACCCCCACTCCTCAGTCTCTGGTGACCAGCATTCTACTCTCTGCTTTCTTGAGTTCAACTTTTTGATATTCCACGTGTAAGTGGGATCATGTGCTATTTGCCTTTCTGTGCCTGGCTTATTTCATTTAATATAACTGTTCTTCATTAAGTCTGGTATTCCTGAGGAAAAAAGTCCACTTGTTTTCTAAGGGCTAGTTATTTCAATGAGCAGGAAGAACTCTCTTCTAGGGAAGAAAGCGGTGTAATGTCAGCATCTTGCCTTTTTTTTTTTTTTTTTCCAGGTGCAGTGTTTACCTAGATATCTCTTTTATTTCTACTAATCCTGCTGTATCACAAATCCTGGCTTTGGCTGAAGGTCTTTCTTTAGTGTTTCTCCTACAACCCAAGCAGAGCATCCCTGAGAGTCCTAGGGGCTCTGTTGACCGTGGACTTGCAGCAATCTGAGGGAACCTGGGTAGCCTTGTTTTGCAGAGTAGGTGAACATGGTGGGTGGAGATGACAGACTTGCCCACCACCACTTAACAAGGTCTGGGATGGGGGCCCTTTCTTGTCATCTCCCAGGTCATGTGTCTACTCAGGAAGGGAACACTGGGTTAGGGACTTAGTTTCTTCTCATCTCTGCTTTTTGCCTTTGCTCCTTATTGATGTCTCTGAACCTCGGTTTCTTCATCTGCCAAAAGTGCAGTGTCATGCCATTCCATAGGAGTGCTTACAGAATGAACAAGGCAAAGTAGTAGGGTTAAAGTAATGACTGCAGCTTGCCCGGCACCTAAGTAGCCTTCCTTAAATTATTTAGTCTAATTTGCTGATGAGGTCTCTTCCACTAATACTTCTACAAATCAATTATAAATACTCTTTGCCGTCAATGGGTTGTCGATGGAAAAATATAACCAACTGTAAAATTAATAATTAATAACCAATGCAGCTTATTTCCAAGCCAACCGTGTGACCTAGGCCGGAGAAGAGGCATACATGCCTTTTCTCGTGGGTGATCATGTACAGAGGTTCCTTTTATTTGCTTTTGAGATTGACAGACATTTCATGAAGAGATTTTTCCATTGGTCTTGCCCAAAAAGGCGGGATATGTAGGGGGGGGTTGTAGGTTATAGGTGGGTTCCACAAATTCTTAGGTCGGTGATTGGAAGGGAAGATCCCTGTCTTAGTTAAAGAAAGGCTTAATCTACATCTCAAGGAAAAGGGAAGTTCTGTCTTGGGAAGGGATAAGCAAAAGAATATACTGTAATCGGTTGAAATATACATCTCAAAGATACTATGCCAGGAATAGGAGGTAGGAAGAATCCTGTTAAATAGAAAATAAATGGTCTGTTAATGTTTGTGGGCATGACTTCCCCAGTCCCTCTTGGAAAAGATTTTGGAAAAATAGGAAAAGTAGTCAGACTTCTGTCCACAGGGTTATAATGCATCTTTTATTTCATGTTTTAATTTAAACAAAATCTAAATAGGTGGAAGGCTTAACAGAAGGTTCATTATATGAATTTAAAATCGCTGCCACCAACCTGGCCGGGATTGGGGAACCGTCAGACCCCAGTGAGCTCTTCAAGTGTGAGGCCTGGACAGCTCCAGAACCTGGTAAGATGCTTCCCTCTTGGTCATCCCAACTTCTAACACAGGAATCACCAGAGAAGGTGACCTTCAGGGTGGGAGCCTGAGGCTTTCAGTAACTCATCACCATCCTTGTCTAGCTAGCAGATAGCCATTTATTCCACTGACGTTGATGGTGTCAAGCACTGGGGTACAGGTAGGAGTGAGAGTGAGCGAGTGTCTGTGATCTGGGAAGTGCACAGACCAGAAGGTGACAGGAGTACTGATAAGTGCCAGTGTGAGGTAAGAGGGGAACACAGAGAGAACCCCAACCCTGGCTGCAGAATGAACAGGCTCCCACACAGGTCAGCACTTGACCTATGACAAATCCTTGGCCCAGGTCAATTTCTCTCAAAAGGCCCGAGAGGGGAGGTAGAGGCAGAACAGGGTTAAAAACAGAAGAGAAATCATGAGCCTGGATCCTGAGTCAGGACAGAGCAGACATTAGAATTTTTGCTAATGGTATCCTGCTCTCAGACCATTTGGGGATCTTGAGGTTTCCAAATTCTGGACTTTATAATTGTTGCAGTTTATTTACAATTCTGTAATTTCAAACTTCAAACTTTTTTTTTTTTACAAATCTTCAAGTACTGGGTGCCGATTTCTTTGTATTCAAGCCATCAGGAACCCAGATGCAATGGATAGATTTGTACTGTATAGGCTATATTTACATTCAGATTTTGAAAAAGAACTTAAAGTTGAAGCTGGAAATAAATAAATAAAATTCAGACTGATTTTTCAACTTTGTGGCCAGATTATATTGCTTCTTTTGTTTCTTTTTTATTTCTCCCCTCCCCTTCCTCTTCTCTTCTCTCCACTTCTGTCTTCTCTCTTGCTTTTTCCTCCCCTCTGTTCTCCTTTCCTCTCCTCTCCTTCTTCCTCTCTCCTCTTCTTTCTCCTCTTTTCATTTTCCTCCTTTCCTCCTTTCTTATTTGTTTTAATGAAATTAACTTTTACCATTTAGAAAAATGAAGGGAAGAAAAAGCTGTTAAAGTTTCCCAAGTCTTCTTGAGGGATTGATATGCAGTGCCTTAGCCACACTCAAAGGATGCAGTATGGGTTAATTAAGATGGAGCAGGGCCACTGCCCTTGTCCCTTTACTGTTCCGTGCTCACTCGGACCTGGGATATCAGCACCATGCACTTTTAGAACTGCTGTGGATGTTCAGAGAGGGCAGAGAGGAAGCAATATGCTAGCCAGCCAGGTATGCTAGCTGACTAGGCGTGCCAACCAGCCAGGTGTGTAGCCAGACAGTGGACAGGCTCTTTGAATCAATGCCTGTGACCAATAGGTTTCCAGTCCAGTGGGTGGGGGAAAAGAGAGTTCTTCCTCTCCTCTCCTCTCCTCTCCTCTCCTCTCCTCTCCTCTCCTCTCCTCTCCTCTCCTCTCCTCTCCTCTCCTCTCCTCTCCTCTCCTCTCCTCTCCTCTCCTCTCCTCTCCTCTCCTCTCCTCTCCTCTCCTCTCCTCTCCTCTCCTCTCCTCTCCTCTCCTCTCCTCTCCTCTCCTCTCCCTTCCTTCCTCCTCCACTTCCTCCTCCTTCTTCTTCTATCCTTTTCTCTCTATTATGCATATGTGCTAGTCTGAAGCAAGCAAAGTGGAGTCATAAATTATTCTAAAAGTATCTACAATCACCCAGATACCTACCAGAGGAGGCTGTGGGAACATTAAGTTGGATTCTCCTCCCCAACTACCAACACCACACTCAACACTACTCCTTATGAACATTCAAGAAAGGGTGATGTATAACCTGAAGAACTCGGTGATGTCATTGTGGGAGGCATGGGCCAAAGAAGTAGCAGGTCTTTAGGGACTTATGTGAAGGGTGGCAGATATGCTGAATGGATATGTGTGTGTGTGTGTGTGTGTGTGTGTGTGTACATGTGTGCCCAGGATCATGAAAGGCTTCCTTCCTCTCCTCTCCTCTCCTCTCCTCTCCTCTCCTCTCCCTTCCTTCCTCCTCCACTTCCTCCTCCTTCTTCTTCTATCCTTTTCTCTCTATTATGCATATGTGCTAGTCTGAAGCAAGCAAAGTGGAGTCATAAATTATTCTAAAAGTATCTACAATCACCCAGATACCTACCAGAGGAGGCTGTGGGAACATTAAGTTGGATTCTCCTCCCCAACTACCAACACCACACTCAACACTACTCCTTATGAACATTCAAGAAAGGGTGATGTATAACCTGAAGAACTCGGTGATGTCATTGTGGGAGGCATGGGCCAAAGAAGTAGCAGGTCTTTAGGGACTTATGTGAAGGGTGGCAGATATGCTGAATGGATATGTGTGTGTGTGTGTGTGTGTGTGTGTGTGTACACACATGTGCACAGGTTGAATTTGGCTTTCCAGGTCCTGCGTATGACTTGACATTCTGTGAGGTCAGGAACACATCCCTGGTCTTGCTGTGGAAAGCCCCTGTGTACTCCGGCAGCAGTCCTGTCTCTGGCTATTTTGTGGATTTTAGGGAAGAGGATTCTGGAGAATGGATGACTGTAAATGAAGCGACCACGGCAAATCGATATTTAAAGGTGATTCTTTCATTTATTTTCTTTCATGGGAAAATGCTTTTGATTCCTCTAGAAAACAAGCTCAAAGCTCTGAGGAGAGCCTGTTTAAATAACAAGGTGTATCTTGGTAGGGGGGCATACGAAGAGAGTGTCTTTGACCTCTGTAGACTTGTAGCGCAAAAGAACAATTAGGTCCCAGCAGATGGCAGTACAGTGCCTTGAGGAAGTGGCACCTTCCTTAGGTCATGGTTGCCACACTGAATCCTGGGCCACTGGGTGCACATACCTCTTCTTTTCATATTGTAGTCTGTCAGCCGTCAGCTGTCCTGCACTCAGATTTGTGCTGTGTAGGCTATATTTGTGTGCTTTCCATGGAGATGATTAATATTATATATATATATATATATATATCGTTAAGCTCCACTTAAACTTTTTATTATTTTTAGAGAAATTTTTGCTATAGTGCATATGTGGTTGCTCGAGAGACAGAGAGACAGCGAGAAATCCCCTCACCCCCAGGGTAGGTAGTGAGCAACTTAAAAGCCCAGACAAGGCAGGGTGATTCTGTTATAGTTGTCTTCTTTTTCTTACCAGGGCATATTAAGTACATGCAAACTCCCAGGGTGGTGACAAAAAATAGCAGTTCTGCTTCCCAGTATGCTCTGGTATCCTCTTATGATATGGGTCATGCATGCACACATGCCTGGCGTGAGTTTCAAGCTGCTGGGTCCAGGACTTGAACTGCGGTCGGCCATGTGGGAATACAGTGATGTAATCATTGGGCCATCTGCTGGTCCCATGTTTAACTTTCTTAATTGCTGTGATTGCTAATACGAATCTATTTGGTAAATGCCACACAATGTTTATACACAGAGTTTCAATACTTCTGACAAAATTATAATGTGTAATTTTGTCTATCCTTTCTTTTTTCAACTGTCTCTATTTTTAGTACACGTGATTTACCCATCACTAGTTCAGTGGTGACCATTGTCCTCAAATGTAGTAGGCTTACATACCCTGTTTGCCCTGCTGCCTTAATCCACAGGATTTCTTCTGGTTGTGAGCCCTGTGGTGTGACTTAGACGGAGATGCAGCATGCACCCTTACCTACAAAATATCACATCTAAGACAGGCACAATACACATGGAAGTAGAATTGGTAACAACCACTGGAAGACAGTTTGATAACATTAAACAGTCAGTTCCTTTCAAATGAACTAATTGGCTCTTAAGAATTCAGCTAAATAAATCAATTAGAAATTTAGTTAATAAGGAGCCAGTAGGTGGAGTGGTAGTTAAGAGCACTGTGCTCCCAAATGACCAACTGTGGTTCAAGTCCCGGATTTGGCAGCCTGCTTTCTCACTTTCCCTTTCTCTCTCTCTTTCTGGTCAAATTAAAAAAAAGAAAAATAACAAGTAAAAAAAAAATTAAAAAATGAAATTTAGTTAATATCTACTTCTCGTTCGTGATACAGATTTTAATATCCGTAATGTAGGTATATACAGGAAGAGATCAATTTAACTTTGATGTATTCAAATGGAGATTTTGCCCATAGAATTATGCTAAATATAAACACCAGATTAAACTAACCCTTATGGTTTTAACTCTGCTTTAGAGTGTGCAGAGAAGAATGAAAGAGGGGTTGTTGAAATTGCAGCAAATCTGTTTATTCCTGAGATTAGATAGGATAATATACCTCTTTTCCTCTGCTTTTCTGCCTTGCTACATATCATTTTTCCAACTAAAAAAGTAAGTTATTTTTAAAAAGTTGTGTCCATAGCACATTGTGAAAGACAAAACAGTCCTCCTTTTAACATCTACATATCTGTGATGTTTCTTCTGTTGTTTCAAGGTCTGTGACCTGCATCAAGGTAAAACCTATGTCTTCAGAGTCCGGGCAGTGAATGCAAATGGGGTAGGGAAGCCCTCGGACACGTCTGAGCCAGTACTTGTGGAGGCTAGACCAGGTGAGACTCTACCTGCTAGTGGTTCAAAATAGCAGGGGCGAGGGTGTTACATGTGCTACCTCCCTCTGGAGAAATGAATATTCAGTCATAGTTTAGGACGGATCTGGGCTAGCAAGTGAGATAATGCATGCACGTCACATTCTGCCTGTGCTCTGATATCCCCACACTGGGAGTAGAACACGAGATCCTCTTCATCATTGGCAGAGCCAGGTCTTGGAGCAATCACATAATGAGCAGGAAGGAAGAAGGTGGTTTATTATTTTACTGCCGTGTTTTGATCAGAAAATTAGAAAGCTGTTGATAATTTTCTCAGTTGCAATCTTCAGAGGGGAAGTACTTTTGGAGACAGAGACACGCTCACAGGACACGCGGGGGAAGGTGTGTACCTGAGCGGCAGAAAAGGATGGAAACACAAACTGTAAAACATGTCGTCTTTCTCCTGGGACCTCTCATTTCTTCCCTTTTGCTATTTGCTTTCTTTTAGTCTTCCACCTGGCTCTGTGTTTCTCCATTCTCTTGGCAACCTGAGAGCGTCTATATTATTACATGACCTCAGTTCCACTCACCAGTGGAGGCTGTTAGGTTTTGCCCAATTCTTAATTTATAAGAGATGGAATCTGACTGGCAGTTTGGGGCCACATGTTTATCTCAGCCACAGAATAGCAAAGAAACAACAAACATTCTCTCCGATCCCCAAACAAGATAAAACAAACATCGTGGGAAAGGAGGAGCCTGCAGTGGGTGAATCAAGTGCTATGTGCACTGCCTGGGGCCACCTCTATGAGAGAGTCTGGGAGTTAAGTTATAGGGAGAAAAGGAATTTTTGGAGCTTTGGTGGGCAGCTTGAAAAGGTCTTCTACAGTGAAACTGGATGCAGAAAATGGTGTGGACAGAAACGCAAGTCTCAAAAATAACAGTGAAACAAACCAACCATTCTTGCATTCATCTAGTCCCTAATGTGTTTTGCTCTTTCCTGATTCTCTGGGTCTGTCCTGGCTGGACATTCAACAAGACTGATGATTCGATGGAAAATAAGACACCCTCTGCGCCAAAAAAAGAATTCAAAGGACACTGTGTTCCGAAGATGCTTTACTTCATATTCTTGCTCTTCAGGCACAAAGGAAATCAGCGCCGGCGTCGACGAGGAAGGCAATATCTACCTGAGTTTTGACTGCCAGGAAATGACAGATGCCTCTCACTTTACATGGTGTAAATCCTACGAGGAGATTGCAGATGAGGAGAGGTTTAATATCGAAACTGTGGGGGATCAGTAAGTCATAGTTTGAAGCTGGCTATTGTAAACTTTTCGAAACTCCTGCAAACAGAAATAATTAATGTTCTTCTTCCTTTTTTAGTTCAAAGCTGTACTTTAAGAATCCAGATAAAATGGATTTAGGCACTTATTCTGTGTCCGTAAGTGATACAGATGGCGTGTCTTCCAGTTTTGTTATGGATGAAGAAGGTAATGTTTTTAACACTTTTCTTTTTTTGGTTTCATACTGCTTTCACGGGATGGTCACTAATTTAGAAAAAAACAAATTTGCTTAGAAAAAGGCTATGTGTTTTTGGAGGCTGTGGGTGGAGTATAGTCATATAACCCAAAAAATCACCTTAGAAATCAAGTAAATTCTAGTGTTTGTATTATAGCCAGCCAAAATCACTGGTCCAGAGCACATTGCTTCTATAGCCTTCAACATGTGCTTTCAAAGTTGAATTTTAGACACGTTTTAATGGTTTGGCACACAGGAAGTAGTGTATTTGCAAATATATCCATAAAATTAATAAGAAAGGTATTGATGAAAGACCCCTGCATTCCCTTCCAACATTCAGGAATTGTGATGATAGAAGAAAATATTAAACTAGAAAATTAGGAGCAGAGATGGAAAGATTTACTTACACTGTTCATTCTTAAGTATCTTTGGAAATTTATACCACATACTAATATGAATTAAAAGAAAAGGGGGAGGGCCACTTAAATTGAAGACAGTATAGAACTTTTTATATACCCAGGTGTTCTATATGTTTGGTTAAATGTAAAATAAACAAATAAGACTATGATTATTTGGTAAAAATAAAAAATGTGTGTAAATAATTTTAAGTACCATAGCCAAAAAATCTCATGTTCTTTTATAAAGAGAAGACAGCAGAGAGAAATGAGAAAAGTTTGCTTAGTGAGACCCAGGGGAAGACACATTTTCTTAGGTAGGTTCACAAATCTAAGTTCACCAGGCAAATAGGAGATCTGCCTGGGAATCTGTGTTTGTGTCCAACTCTTACTTACCCTACTTGGAGGTCAGAGGTTTTTTCTTTGTTTCCTGTTTTTAGAGATAGATATTTTTGCTGTAGGGCATGTGCACCTCCGGAGAGACAGAGTAATAGGTAGCAGGAAATCACCTCACTCAGGGGGGATGGCCATGCTGCAATCCCTTCTCTTGCTCTCTCTATTTTTCTTTTTTAAGAATTATTTTATTTAACTTTATTTATTTTAATTTGATCAGAAAGAGACAGAGTATGTGTGAGAGAGAGAGACAGAGAGAGAGAGAGAACACAAGCTGCCAGGTCTGGGACTCAAATCGTGGTCAGCCATGTGGGAATCTAGCACCTTTAACCACCATGCCACCTGCTCGCCCCCGCAATCCCTTCTCTTTCATTCCCCTCTTGGGATTTTGGGAGTCCAATGACATAATCATTATGCCATCTGGTGGTCCCAGAGGTGAGAGTTTTTAAGACGTGATCAGTGGTATGGAGTGAGTTCTGCATCTATAGACAGAATGCTCAGATTGCTGGGTTTCTTTGGGTCTGTTAGTCTTTGGGGTCCTCTACTAAAATGCAAAAAACCCTGAGGATGCTCTAAGACTTTTAAGCACATAATTTAGTTATCAGTTTGTATCCTGACTGACAGCCTGTTGAGGGTGTAATCTGAGAACTTGACCCAGGATAGGTATTGAGGGTGGGGCAGGGAGGATAGGCAAGTATCCAAGGAGGAAGGTAGCCAGAGACACACTGCTGGCTTCAGGACCACTCAGGTTGGGGTCCCTATTGCTTAATTTGGATGAGCTCCTGTAAATTGAGCAAGATGTGAGGGACAACTGAGGGGACTGCACTGTCACCCTTTGCAGGAGTCCTTTGAGCACCCTTCACAGGCAGGCAGGAAGGGACCTGGAATCCACACACATGCCCCTTGGTCTGCCCTTGCTGATCCTGGCTTGGAGATCTTCAGTTCTGATTTCAAAAAACATCCTTAAAGAATTCTGAAAAGCTCTGCATCCTCTGTACCATTTTCAAGTTTACATATGACATTTTTCATCTTCTTTTAAAATAGCTGCAAAGGATGCCATTTTTACCATCCTTCATATTGTGTATTATCCCTTAAATATATTGGAACCTTGGATTTGCAGGTTAGCTGATTCGATTTAGGGAAATTCCTACCAGGAGATTTATTGGAGAAAGCCAGTCCTAGCTGTCAAACTAATCGCCTAAATTGAGTTTGCTTTTGGCCAGGAAAACTCTGACTTCATATTTTAGTTCGAATGAACATGTTCATACATACTTTCATGATCAGCATTTTATTTTTGAATTCTAATTTTAAAAAGAAGGAAGGAAGGGGAAGAAATGAAAAATTGGTTTAGAGCTTTAATTTTTCTTACCTTGCTCGTGGGATTTTTCTCAGGAACAATGCTTTGTTTTTGTTTCATTTCATTTTTTAACTCATGGTAATATACTGTAGTGAAATTCTGGTTGGGTGAGAGACATGCACATTTTTCTATACTGAAATTGAAGGAGGAAATTTTGAAATGGGAAGAGACATCACAGAACACAAGCACATTCCTATCCAGTCAGGTCAATTTTAGTTAATAGTACATATGGACTTGAAGGACCTAGAAGCGGCTCCCTTTAATCGCTCCCTGAGAAGTCGTCTTATACTACATGAACATACTTACCTGTATCCCAACCCCACTTTTCCAAAGACTCTGGCCTAACTCGTCCTCAACTATTCCTTTGATAAGTGGATCCTTTAATTGGTGAGGATCTTAGCTGCAGGCAACTACTAATTTAGTGAAGAAAGTAGGCAAAGGTTAAAGCTACCCTGTAAGTGTCCTTTTTGCTTTTGGTTTATATTATTCTCATGACCTCGAATTAAAGCTGCATGATGGTAGATCTCTGCTTTTGTGTTTGCTCTTGTTTACAGACTTCTGAAAGTAGAGGTGAAAATCAACTCAAATATTTTTCTTGCTTTCAGAGCTTGAACGTTTGATGGCGCTGAGCAATGAAATAAAGAATCCCAGTAAGTAAGCTTTTAACCCTGTGTGGACAACTGCAAGCCTAGGAGAGCTGTGTTCATGAGTGGACAGAACTCTTGAAAGAATGGTTTTGGGGAAAGGATGGCCTCATTTTATGCTCCTGGTTTACAGGATTGTAATCTATTGATTTGAAGTTAGTATGAGTTTACATTATAGCTTGTAGAAACTTGCATTGCACAGTGTTTTGAATTTGGGGTTTACTATAGCTGTTCCTAATGCAGGCAAGATGTCTATCAAGTAAAATCTTCAGTTACTGAATTGCATTGAATGCACACAAAAAGTGCATGCTTCTTTAGCCTTTGAACACATCCACAAGCTAACCGAACTCACATGGTATTAGGCTTTAAGTGCAACCACAGACTAACTAGCATTTTATTTTTTATTTTTGCTTTTCCTAATCCAATGCAATACGCCAGGGTTTCACATTCTCAAAAAATTTAATAAATAGGATTGATATTTTTCTACAATATGCAGCTATTCTTTCTCACAAGGGTTCATGCATTATTGACTTGCGATTTCTTTTCTTCCTGTAGCAATTCCTCTGAAATCAGAATTAGCTTATGAGATTTTTGATAAGGGCCAGGTTCGCTTCTGGCTCCAGGCTGAGCACTTATCACCGGATGCCAGCTACCGATTTATTATTAATGACCGAGAAGTCTCTGACAGCGAGGTGAGTTTGTGTGTGCATGATCTCTGACTTTGAAAGGACTCAGGTTTTGCTCTGGTAGGTCAGTTACCTTAAAGTCAATACTCTGTGTTTGTTTTCATCTCTTTTGGGGCTGCAAATATCGGGATGGAGAAGGTTGACAGTGTGAATGAAGATAGTCAATTCTTTCAATGTTCAGAGGTTTGGTCTGGGTTAGATAGGAGATAAGCAACTTTTTGTTTGTTCGCTTGTTTTTAAAACCCAATCCTGTTAGAGGTAAAAACGACTATGTCTTAAAGACTTTGAGCTCAGTTTTGTGAAAGCATTCAGTTACTTGGCAGGGAGGTATCCTTAATGAATCAGCTTATTTATTCCTGATAATGGCTTTGAAGGAGCAAATGTATTATTTGTTCTATTGGGATGACTGTCTCCCTGTGTCTTCCACTCCAGACAGTTTTCCATGGAAGACATTAGCTAGAAAATGAGGTTCTGCAACTTCCCCTAACCTTGTCGCCTGCTCTCTTGGTATGACAGATCCAATCTGGGCAAAGAAAACAGTCTAGCTGTCAGAAATACATGCAATGCTATGACACAAACACTTTTGCTCCTGTTCTACTTTTAATTGTATCAAATGAATTTTACAATGATTACGGGTCATCTTTTTTTCACTGTGAAATATGTCAGAAGGTGTCGATTATGTTTTAATGTGTCTGTTTAAACCTAGCATACCTGGGGACACAGTTAAATACAACCTATTGGATGAAGTCTTTCTTGTTCAGTGGTGGGTTGAGGATCTTTTAAATTCCTCCATCTTCACCTCTTCTCGGGCCTTTTCTCCCCCTTACTGTTCAATGTGCCTCATCATGAGTACACTTTGCTATCCTGCTAGGTCCTAAATGCCTCCTTCATTCATTCCCTACCCAGATGTTAACTGAAAGCTTGGGATGCAGGAGTCACTCATGCCATGTGGGCATCCCACTTACTGTTTTTCTGAATTGCAGCTTGATCCTCAGTCCGGCCTTTGTGTCCAGTGGGTATTTAGGAGGGCTTAGTTAGTTTGACAAATACCTGTCAGACAGAAATCTTGCATGGGCAAGGATCATGTGATTTTTCTCCTCCAGTCAATCCATTCCAAGACTAACTTTAAGATTCATGTAACTGGGAGAATTGGCTAAAATGTAGAAAGAAGATAGTTTCTTTGGGGCTGCCAAAACCCCAACCGTATGAATATTGTCTGTGAGAGTGTACTTCTTGATCAAGGTAATTGGGGAAATTTTCTTTGAGCAGAGATCATGCTTTGAAATGAAATGGAATTTAGTGTGATTGCACTTTATTTGCAGAACATCTTTTGATTAACATTCCCTACCCGCTGCACAGAACTTGCTTTAAAAACCTGTGTCGTTGCCACACGGCTAATCTTTTGGAAGATGGCTGTACTATTTCACTTCTTTAATTAGCAATCCACAGGTGACTTTTGCATTTGAAGATTGATGCTATTTTGTGAAAGTCACATAAAAGCCCATATTTATGGCACTCGTAAAATCATTGAACTTCATCTTGCGGTATAATGGCAATAGCAAGAAGCCTAATTATTTTCTAAAACCTGCCCAGATACTGCAGTGCAGTCGCTGAGAAAATCGAAAAGGCTACTGTCTTGTTAAGAATCCGATTGGTGAGAATCATACCTTCTTATTTCTCAGAACTAATTAGAGTGAGTTCCTATCACTCTCTACTTACTGATGTTTGAGGTGACTGTAATGTCATACAAATAAGGACAAGTGCTTTTGTCTGACCTACTGAAATTTGCTGTTGATATTCAAATGTAAATACCCAAACCAGGAAAAAATTCAAGAACCAAGCAGGGGCACATTCATGGCTTCCTTCCTCTCCTCTCCTCTCCTCTCCTCTCCTCTCCTCTCCCTTCCTTCCTCCTCCACTTCCTCCTCCTTCTTCTTCTATCCTTTTCTCTCTATTATGCATATGTGCTAGTCTGAAGCAAGCAAAGTGGAGTCATAAATTATTCTAAAAGTATCTACAATCACCCAGATACCTACCAGAGGAGGCTGTGGGAACATTAAGTTGGATTCTCCTCCCCAACTACCAACACCACACTCAACACTACTCCTTATGAACATTCAAGAAAGGGTGATGTATAACCTGAAGAACTCGGTGATGTCATTGTGGGAGGCATGGGCCAAAGAAGTAGCAGGTCTTTAGGGACTTATGTGAAGGGTGGCAGATATGCTGAATGGATATGTGTGTGTGTGTGTGTGTGTGTGTGTGTGTACACACATGTGCACAGGTTGAATTTGGCTTTCCAGGTCCTGCGTATGACTTGACATTCTGTGAGGTCAGGAACACATCCCTGGTCTTGCTGTGGAAAGCCCCTGTGTACTCCGGCAGCAGTCCTGTCTCTGGCTATTTTGTGGATTTTAGGGAAGAGGATTCTGGAGAATGGATGACTGTAAATGAAGCGACCACGGCAAATCGATATTTAAAGGTGATTCTTTCATTTATTTTCTTTCATGGGAAAATGCTTTTGATTCCTCTAGAAAACAAGCTCAAAGCTCTGAGGAGAGCCTGTTTAAATAACAAGGTGTATCTTGGTAGGGGGGCATACGAAGAGAGTGTCTTTGACCTCTGTAGACTTGTAGCGCAAAAGAACAATTAGGTCCCAGCAGATGGCAGTACAGTGCCTTGAGGAAGTGGCACCTTCCTTAGGTCATGGTTGCCACACTGAATCCTGGGCCACTGGGTGCACATACCTCTTCTTTTCATATTGTAGTCTGTCAGCCGTCAGCTGTCCTGCACTCAGATTTGTGCTGTGTAGGCTATATTTGTGTGCTTTCCATGGAGATGATTAATATTATATATATATATATATATATATCGTTAAGCTCCACGTTTAAACTTTTTATTATTTTTAGAGAAATTTTTGCTATAGTGCATATGTGGTTGCTCGAGAGACAGAGAGACAGCGAGAAATCCCCTCACCCCCAGGGTAGGTAGTGAGCAACTTAAAAGCCCAGACAAGGCAGGGTGATTCTGTTATAGTTGTCTTCTTTTTCTTACCAGGGCATATTAAGTACATGCAAACTCCCAGGGTGGTGACAAAAAATAGCAGTTCTGCTTCCCAGTATGCTCTGGTATCCTCTTATGATATGGGTCATGCATGCACACATGCCTGGCGTGAGTTTCAAGCTGCTGGGTCCAGGACTTGAACTGCGGTCGGCCATGTGGGAATACAGTGATGTAATCATTGGGCCATCTGCTGGTCCCATGTTTAACTTTCTTAATTGCTGTGATTGCTAATACGAATCTATTTGGTAAATGCCACACAATGTTTATACACAGAGTTTCAATACTTCTGACAAAATTATAATGTGTAATTTTGTCTATCCTTTCTTTTTTCAACTGTCTCTATTTTTAGTACACGTGATTTACCCATCACTAGTTCAGTGGTGACCATTGTCCTCAAATGTAGTAGGCTTACATACCCTGTTTGCCCTGCTGCCTTAATCCACAGGATTTCTTCTGGTTGTGAGCCCTGTGGTGTGACTTAGACGGAGATGCAGCATGCACCCTTACCTACAAAATATCACATCTAAGACAGGCACAATACACATGGAAGTAGAATTGGTAACAACCACTGGAAGACAGTTTGATAACATTAAACAGTCAGTTCCTTTCAAATGAACTAATTGGCTCTTAAGAATTCAGCTAAATAAATCAATTAGAAATTTAGTTAATAAGGAGCCAGTAGGTGGAGTGGTAGTTAAGAGCACTGTGCTCCCAAATGACCAACTGTGGTTCAAGTCCCGGATTTGGCAGCCTGCTTTCTCACTTTCCCTTTCTCTCTCTCTTTCTGGTCAAATTAAAAAAAAGAAAAATAACAAGTAAAAAAAAAATTAAAAAATGAAATTTAGTTAATATCTACTTCTCGTTCGTGATACAGATTTTAATATCCGTAATGTAGGTATATACAGGAAGAGATCAATTTAACTTTGATGTATTCAAATGGAGATTTTGCCCATAGAATTATGCTAAATATAAACACCAGATTAAACTAACCCTTATGGTTTTAACTCTGCTTTAGAGTGTGCAGAGAAGAATGAAAGAGGGGTTGTTGAAATTGCAGCAAATCTGTTTATTCCTGAGATTAGATAGGATAATATACCTCTTTTCCTCTGCTTTTCTGCCTTGCTACATATCATTTTTCCAACTAAAAAAGTAAGTTATTTTTAAAAAGTTGTGTCCATAGCACATTGTGAAAGACAAAACAGTCCTCCTTTTAACATCTACATATCTGTGATGTTTCTTCTGTTGTTTCAAGGTCTGTGACCTGCATCAAGGTAAAACCTATGTCTTCAGAGTCCGGGCAGTGAATGCAAATGGGGTAGGGAAGCCCTCGGACACGTCTGAGCCAGTACTTGTGGAGGCTAGACCAGGTGAGACTCTACCTGCTAGTGGTTCAAAATAGCAGGGGCGAGGGTGTTACATGTGCTACCTCCCTCTGGAGAAATGAATATTCAGTCATAGTTTAGGACGGATCTGGGCTAGCAAGTGAGATAATGCATGCACGTCACATTCTGCCTGTGCTCTGATATCCCCACACTGGGAGTAGAACACGAGATCCTCTTCATCATTGGCAGAGCCAGGTCTTGGAGCAATCACATAATGAGCAGGAAGGAAGAAGGTGGTTTATTATTTTACTGCCGTGTTTTGATCAGAAAATTAGAAAGCTGTTGATAATTTTCTCAGTTGCAATCTTCAGAGGGGAAGTACTTTTGGAGACAGAGACACGCTCACAGGACACGCGGGGGAAGGTGTGTACCTGAGCGGCAGAAAAGGATGGAAACACAAACTGTAAAACATGTCGTCTTTCTCCTGGGACCTCTCATTTCTTCCCTTTTGCTATTTGCTTTCTTTTAGTCTTCCACCTGGCTCTGTGTTTCTCCATTCTCTTGGCAACCTGAGAGCGTCTATATTATTACATGACCTCAGTTCCACTCACCAGTGGAGGC